ATTGGCTTGTATGAGACCGTAACTTCATGGATTATGGCCCCTGACTGTACACACTAGAGGTCACAATAATTAGCCCATTTTGATAAAACTGAACATGTGTATTTATAACCCAAAGATCTCGATTCCTTGCAATATTGGCGCATATCGGACCGTAACTTCCTGGATTATGGCCCCGGATTGAACAAAAAAAACGTGTTTTGAGTCTGTGGAACCTATGCTGGTCACAATTTTTATCCGATTATAAAAAAACGTTCAAATATATCACCGTTACATCATAATGACAGTTGAGTTTGAATTTCGTGAATTGGTTTGTGCCTTTGATCTGTGTTCTGTCACTTATATCAGAGTATATATTAAATTTTAAATCAAAATTGGGACGGCTAGTACCCTCCATATTAACCACAGTATTAAGAAAATTATCAATATATCTAAATCATTCTCGTGAGCAGCTTTTCCATCACAACTTTGACGGCTATTATTCCCCATATCAATAACATCACAATTTTTACAGCTATTATCTTCCATATCGAGTACATTACCAATGTAATCAGTATCCCAATGCTTATCACATATATATATATTCTCATTATTAATATTTGTTTTCGACTGTGTTGTAAACATGTCGTTTCCATGTAGAATATTGTGGACTGTCTAAGTATGCTTGTATCATAAGGCCTTTCATTGAGTCAACTGGCGTGGTTTCGAATCCCCGGTTGTACGTGGCAGGGAGTATGGTCGCCTGTCCAACTTCGTGGGTTTTCTCCAGGTCCTCCGGTTTCCTCCCACTGCTAAAGACCCCTACGCGCAAGCGAATTATTGAAATAAAATGAAAAATCATATGTTCGTCCCGAAATGACCTAGTTTGTGTCGAGTGGACGTTAAACCCCATTTCTCTTTCTCTCACCTTTACAATAATGGCGTCCCATACCATGAAAATCTACTTAGAAAAAAATGTCGTCATTGTTTTTTTTTTGTCATCAAACATCAAAGCCTACAAAATAAGGATTATTCCACGACCTTTACCGGAAAGGCCGACGGATTTACATTAAGGATCGGAATAATAATGTCATTTGGTTCGGTTTCGATCTCATCGCTAAAGATGCTAGATTATTGAAATACAGTTGTACCATATGCTACTTGGAATTCGATATAGGAATAGGCCGTAGCATCGCTGTCCGGGCAAATTTTCCCTCATAACACACTGCATGGCGTATGCTCGTCTTCATTAGCCCAGTCGGGGCAGAACAGTAGGACGTTAAACTCCATCTTATTTCATTGGTCGTTTTTTTCAAGTGTTCAAGTACCGCCCCCTCTACTGACCTTGGCCTTGTTGATTGATTGAGTAAATCATTAATTTCCGTCCTAGTCAGGACCTTTTTCCATATGTAAATGAGGTTCGTCATAGTTCCATATAAGGTATATGCTCTGATATGCTAGGTGCAAATTAATATGCACTTAGCATATCAGAGCATATACCTTGTCTGCGATATCACCTCTGTGGAAGCGGACGTAAAATACAACTAACTAACAGCAACAACATATGCTAGGTGCTATGATGCATTTGTCTATAATGCAAATTGCAGAATGGAGAGATTTAATGTGCAAAATAATAACAATTATACTGTATTTGTATTATTCAAAAGCGTATTTTGTATTTTAACACTGTGACCTTAGTATTGTGGAGAAATGGAAATTGCAAATTGTAAAACTAAAATACATATTTTGAACTGCTGACATTCATTTTGCACCGTGAACATTGGAATAATATTGGTAACGTTATTCCTCCATACATTACTAGCTTCACCGTTAGAATTATGTCGTGAATATCACTCCATACAGCTATCCAATCCATAGTACTTGTTTCAGTGTTAGAATTATGTCGTGAATGACACTCCATACAACTTTTCAGTCCATATTACTAGAGTCAGAGTTAGAATTATGTCGTGAATGACACTCCATACAACTTTTCAGTCCATATTATTTGAGTCTGCATTAGAATTATGTCGTGTATGCCACCCCATACAACTTTTCAGTCCATAGAATGCCACTCGGTTCATCTATCCAATCCCACTCCTTAATTCTAATCAATCCACATTACTAGTTTTAATTTTAGAGTTATATCGTGAATTCCACTCCATTCAACATTACTACTTTCAACGTTAGAATTGTGTCTTGAATGTTACTCCATAAATTAGCTCAATCCACATCAATTGCTGGTATTTAAAGGCTATAGCACTATGTCATTCCATACATGAGTTCAATACACATTACTAATTTCAGCGCGTGAATTATGTCATGAATGCCAGTCCATACATTTTATTCAATCAACATTACTACCTTTGAATTATGTCGTGAATCATACTCCATACATCTATTCAAAATGCATTACTATTATTTAAAGGTGATAGACAGTGTCACTCTATACATATATTCAATCCACATTTCCACTTCAGCGTTAGAATTATGTCGTGAATTACACTCCATACAGAAGATAAATCATCAAATATCCAATAAATCGAATGTAAACTTATAGAGTATCTGTCACCACGTGTATCGTAAATATTGATAAATGAAGCCAAGCGTGGTGAATGATGACTAGACCTAAGTATTAAGAAAACCTAAATTATAGGAGATAGAGAGAGAGATAGAGAGAGTTGGGATTTAGCGTTCACTTGACACAAACTAGGTCATTTCGAGACTAACATTTCTATATTTTTGATTTTTATTTCAATAATGTGAATGGGCGTAGGGGTCTTTGGCTGTGTGAGGAAATCTGAGGACCCCGAGAAAGCTAATGAGGCTGGACGGGAGACCCTACCCCCAGCACTAACATAATTACAACGATCAACGAAGATTGCATACGTACATATCTTTCCTTGTCGGTCACGTGCTATTGATAAAAACACGCTTGTGTCGGTAGTAGTATCATGTTCCTGGAGCAACGACCGCGAGTTTTACAACATCTAGCCGTTGCTTCAATTACGTGAAGGGCTTGATAAGATGTACGTAAATAAGGCGAGATCAAGCCTTCTATTGAAGATGTACTAGTATCAGAGAGGGGAAGAAACGAGGTTAAGGTCCGCTCGACACAATTTATGTACTAGCATAATATGGTGCAATTCTATTTCAATAATTCGCTTGTGTACAGGAGATTTTAGCAGTGAACGCAAACCAGGGGACCAGGAGACACCAAACGCGATTGACTCAAAAACAGACCTTATGATCTAAAGCGCATGCATTTGACAATTTGACCACTCAACCCTCCCAAATGAATATCAACATTTATTGAGGCACCTCCTAGAGAGAACCTATAACATATTTGTCCCTCTAGGTGGCTCAGTGAGTAAGGCGCTGGCCACTAAACAGCAGGTCCGGAATCCGACACCGACGTTCGCCGAGAAACTTCTTTTGGATTTTCCAGTATGATTTCCTCTTGTGGGTTAGGGTTAGGGGTAGTATCTGCAGATTTCATCAAGGTCTCGAGATGTAAACAGTGCTAGCACTAACACCAACCCTAAACCTGGACCAAGCCTATGTATTATATGTATTTTAATATCATGTACAGGAGATAAATATATATATATATTCTTGCTTTTCTTCATTTAAAGATACGTTATGGGAGATTAGATAAAGAGCTGGCAGTTCTCACTATAAAGGGAATTTGCTGAAAATTTCAATCAAATTGATCCACTCTGAACCGATCATCATTGCTAAAGTCGGTACAATAAAAAACACAGTCTCAATTATCCATTTCATGATTTAATCATGAATGAAAATTGAGCAGCAAATCGGGTCCTAATCCAGTAAATATCGCAGACTAGCGATGCCGTCGAGAGTTGATTATGTTCTGGATCAGTTAATAAATATCTAATTAATAGTTTATATAACATTTGAGGCCTAAAGAAAGATCTGCAATAGGCAGATTTAGCTCTTGCATAATGTATGTTTAATGGGGGTGGTGGTATAGAGATAAATGGGTATGATCCGATTAAAGTACCTGTAATCGCACATACTAATCCTATTGGTAGTTTTAATCCCTTAACTCTCAATTTCGCGAGAAGAAGTTTGGTGTTTTGCGTGTTAGGTCGTTACGGCCATTAAAAATGACGATATGCGAAGTAAGGGATGAAAAGTATCAACCGTTGTGTTTCTTTTTGTCAGTTTTGGGCGTTTTCTTTGTTATTCGTTTTCCATTTCAATATTGTTCATAAAAACTGCAGATGTACGTCCTTGGAGTCAGCTTTTTGAGATTCAGGTCTCGCCCAGGATTAAATTTTGTTTTCACATATCGGGACGGGAGTGAATTGTTTAACGCGTGCGCGTTGGATCGGGGGGCCTGTCACTGAACCAAGTGTTGTGGCTTGTACGTGACAAGGGTTACGGTCGCCTGTTCAACTTTCTCCGGGTCCTCCGGATTCCCCCACTGCTAAAGTCCCCTACGCGCAAGCGGAATATTGAAAAGGAATTGAACCCTGTTTTAGTCCCGAAATGACCTAGCTTGTGTCGAGTGGACGTTACCCCCTCCCTCTCTCTCTCTCTCTCTCTCTCTCTCTCTCTCTGTAGGGGGGTTGGATGGCTGAAAAAAAAAAGCGTGCGCGCGCTGTATCATAAAGTCTGTCATTGAGTCGACTGGCGTGGTTTCGAATCCCCGGTTGTACGTGACAAGGAGTAGGGTCGCCTGTCCAACCTCGTGGGTTTTCTCCGGGTCCTCCGGTTTCCTCCTACTGCTAAAGACCCCTACGCGCAAGCGAATTATTGAAATAAAATTAAACCATAAATTAGTCCCGAAATGACCTAGTTTGTGTTGAGTGGACGTTAAACCCCATTTCTCTCTCTCTCTGTGTTTTGGTCATTTCCAATGTTATGTTTTCAATGTTATAGGGTCTAGGTGACTATTACTAGATGTTGATATTAATGTATAGTTGTTTCTAGGACAACTCTAGATTTGTTTTAATTTTACAGTTAACAGATAGACAAATATGTGGCATGTTCATCATAATCTCAATGTCGTTAGTGGTGATATATTGGAATAGTTACCAGACAATATTCGCTTTTATGACTATTGTTAATCTAACACGACAGACAGCAGATATTTCAATCAAGACATGTCTGAAGAATCCACCGTCTTTAGGTAAGTGACTCCTAAGAGGTTCGGTAGGGGGGGGGGGGATTTACTGGATTTAATTACTGGAACTGGATTCTCCGAGTCCCCAAAATGGCGATATTTGAGTGAGAAGGGGGATTTCGGGTTACAGCATTAGAAAATATCTCAACCAAGTATGACAGATGTGTTAAATTACGCCGCGTCAATTAAACAGTGTCAATTCCGCACGTTCCGGAGTGGCAATCGATAAACACCCTAACCATGGGCTAGTCATTTCAAACAAGGGTTGGCTCGGAGGCGGAGGTAAAGCTGACGAAACAATGTTCTTGTGTAGTTATGTGGACCCCGTTAACCTAATGCACACGAACGATTGTCATACTGAAACAGTCATATCTATTTGACTAACCCCTCCCCTCTACCCCCCCCCCCAAAAAAAATAAAGATAACGTTAAAGTTATGTGGACCCCGCCAACCTAGTGTACACGAAAGTTGTCATACTGAAACAGTCAATGTTAATGTACCAAGCATCCGTGTACATAAATCACGGTTTATGAATCCCAGGGGCGTAAATGTGGGTGTGGTACCCCCCCCCCCCCCCCCAGCGAAAAAAATAGTCGATCGCAAAATAAGTGCAGTCGATCTCAAAATAAGCGCTCACTGATTTAATGAGGTAAACAAATAATGCCAAAATAGAAGGAAGAATCCCCAATTTTTATATATTTGCGTAAATCCGTGCACCTAAATTGCATACGTCACGCTACTCACCTAAAACTTTAGTATAAAATAACCTTGTTTTTTACCCTTATTCTGTTGTGAGTTAGTCTAAGAAAAAAATCCCCCCCCCCCCCTCGGGAAAAAAATAGTCGGTCTCAAAATACGTGCAGTCACTGCAGTCGGTCTCAAAATTATGCACCGGCGACTGACGAAATGAATTAATGAGGTAAACAAACAATGCCAGAATATAAGGGAAAAATCTCAAATACTTAATATACGTGCACCTAAATTTCTTACGTCACATAGTCGGTCTCAAAATAAGTACTCACTGCAGTCGGTCTGAGACTAAATGAATTAATGACGTAAACAATGCCAAAATAGAATTCGCGCCCCTAAATTGCAACGGTATAGTATAAAATAACCTAGTCAATTAGTAATGTTTGAAATCAAATCCCTGTTATGGGTATGTTGGTCTAAGAAATTGAGAGCTTGTTACTAAGATTTTGATAAATTATATTATTGATTATCATAGGAATAACATTAGTGGAACAGTTGGTAAGAAGTTATCGCAAGCATAGTTTGTTTCAGAAATACGTAAAAAATCTTTAAATTATGAAATGTTAAGGCGATCTATTGAACTTAAGAATTTTTACTTGTTGCATATTTAAAGTAGCTAAGTCTCTAACTCATTATTATCCAAAGTCTTCGACATTAAAAACACAAATTATTTGTCAATTTACATCAACATTGATGTTGTGATCTTACCGGGAAAATATGGGGTTCTGATATCCACTATTTAAGACAAAATAAACATTTTACCGTACACGAATCATGTACCATAATGCGTTTCAGTTCCATTTTTAATAAGGGACTTGAAGAACGAGGCTAGACATATTCCACATGTCATGCCAAACGGTGACGCCATATTCTTACCTTGAGAGCACGCGCAATAAATACTATCGATGTAGACTGGAATAACCAGATGCCCGAGAGTGTCATTCGATTGAGACTTCTGGCGTATTTCGCCGAACATAACTGATTTGAAATTAGAGTAAAAACGTAAATGTTTGAATGTAAATCAGTTTATATACATTCATATTACATTATTATATGCGTTGCGACCCATTTGTGTCAATTTCTAGGTGCCAAATCTTAGCGATTTAGCTCCTTTAATCCCAGAAGAAATTAAAATGTATTTTACTCATGTTGTAAGTACTTTCTGACCATCAGAATTCTGCAAAACCATTCCCCAGACCCCAAAGTCCATAAATGGCATTTCAGAGACCAAGTTAGCGCCCCCCGTGAGACAAAGTCCCCTCAGGCCCATTCCCTAAAAATTGAAAGCTCAGTTACATAATCTACATTTTTTAACGTCTACGATGCTCAATTCTATAAATTATGTCATTATTCTTCAACTCCTCTGTCTTATAAATCTCATCCCTATCATATTCACATTTACAGTGAATCGCCCAGTTAGTAGTACCATTAGTGAGTGGGGCGACAGACTGTAATTGTTATTTCTGTTCTCACAAAACAGGCGAAATTGACGGACGGGCCTCAAGATTCTGGCCCATTTCTTATCCTCTCGTAAAGGAAAACTTGATCCCATCTGTCATGACTGACTAAAATTTTTCAGGTCCAGGCCCAAGAAATGGAAAGGTCCCCGGTTGTACGTGACAAGGAGTAGGGTCGCCTGTCCAACCTCGTGGGTTTTCTCCGGGTCCTTCGGTTTCCCCCCACTGCTAAAGACCCCTGCACGCAAGCGAATTATTGAAATAAATTAAACCATATGTTAATCCCGAAATGACCTAGTTTGTGTCGAGTGGACGTTAAACCCCATCTCTCTCTCTCTCTCTCTCTCTCTCTTTCTCTCCGACGAGATACCGATCGGCGAACAACTATACATAGGCAATACGATCTATGTTCTACCGGGACGCCTAGTGTTATAGCCAGTATTTTGTTGACATTCATTGCGGGGTGTGATTGTGGATGGCGCCCTGTGATACTTTGGATGTGACACTTTCGTCTTTGCCTTTGCTTAGACTTCACGTTGTTCGATCAATTATTTCAATCATCAATTAACTGACTCTGGAACACCGTTTATGTTGTTACTAAGTTTATATAATTAAATACATACAGCAAACTACAAAGTTATGATAGTACTTTTCGAGTTATTAAATTATCCACGGTCTGAGTTTAATATCCTTTCTAAGTCAGACCTAGCAGCTTAAACGTGGCAAGAGCCACACACGTTTTGATAGTTCTACAAAAGGTTCGCGCTAGGATGGTGTGTTCACCCTAGCCTCTAAGCCCAGGAGGCTATAGGTATGTTCCCCTTGAGCTCCGAATGATTGTCTGAGGGTAAATCAAACCCGCTCTTTCCTATATAGAAAATGTAATGCGTCATCTATTAGGGCGGGACAATTACCATTTTTGGGCAAGTGTTTCAAATACAAACGGATACTGACCAAAATGTCTCTGAGTTAGTCTAAGATAGTGGCAGAGTAATGCAAGCTACTTCATTACCCTAGTTTTCGTCACACATCATGTAGGTAAAGATTTCTATATTAAACAGAACACTTTTCTTGGAGCTAAATAGCCTTAGATTTGGAACCTACCCACCTCCATCCCCTATTCCCAGCTTCCAGAACAGCTACTGGTCCCTAGAAAACTATCATCTGTGGTGTTCGCCCCCTGACTGCGTCACTCGTAATAAGGACATGGGCATCAGTCGGCCGCATTTTTGCTAGTTTAGCGTTTTGGCATGTATGTAAACAGCTGTGAATTAGTTATCGCGAATGTGGCACATCTGCGCGAGGGCCACCGAGATTTAGGGACCTCTTAAAGTGGCGAATCTAAGTGGAGGTTCTATGGGTTACCCCCCCCCCCCCCTCAGATAAGAGTATTATTCTGTTTCTCTATGTGTCACGTTCTGTGGTCAAGTGGAAAGTTTAGATAATATTAATAATATTTTTATTGATGTAGAAGGCAATCTGAATAAACAACAGATCCGATTTCGTTTCGTTTTTTTATAGCTCAAAATTTCGTTGTTCTTATCTTTTTCTACACTAGAATCTGGAAGATTTGTTATATTATCGGCGTTTTGGTTCAAGTGAGGGATTAGCCAATAAAACGGTCGGTTGCGGCGACTTCTTGTACGACCCCCGAGACGACCTTCCAGTACAACTTGTCAGATCTTCATGTAGGCCATCGAAAGTATAAAAAAAAACGAAATGAAATATAGGTCGGTATTTTAATCAGATTTGGTAGAAGGCAATATGCTTTCTATGGCGAGGGGATCACGTGGCTAAGTGGGTAAGACCCTGGCTCGCTAGTCTGGAGGTCGGGTGTTCGATCCCTGCATTGGCCGAGAAAGTTCACCAAGATTTTGCGGCGTGGTTACCCCTTGTCAGTGATGCAGGATGGAGGGCCTGACAAGGACAGCTGTCTAGTAGTTCGGATGAGACGAAAAACCGAGGTCCCGTGTACACATTTGCGTGCACGTAAAAGATCCCTTGGCAGTTGGAATTTGAAATAAGAGTAGGCCGTAGCGCCGCTGCCCAGGCAAAATTTCCCCCTTAGCACACTGTATGGCGTATGCCCGTCTTCACTAGCCCAGGGTTAGGAGCAGAACAATAGGACGTTAAACCCCATTTCATTTTCTATGGCGATTCATTCCATGTGACAATATCACGACACCTATCACGTGACACATTTAGTGGGATCATGTAGGCCTATGGTATGCAATCATTGCCAAAAATCTTCAATGCCAATATACAGTGTAATCCTATGCTACTGAGTAAATACATTACACTATGAAACATGTAAATTTAGGTTTTCGTTGGTTGAAATTGAATATCACAATGTTTTAATCTAGTCTAGATATGACCTACTGGCCCCTGGAACCCTCCCATATCAAATAACCTGCGTTAATCGAATATTTCTGGTCATCAGCTGGTCATATTTCTCTCAAAATTTCCCGGCCAGGGCGATCGTACAAATAAACTGCTGTTAGAATACAAGTTATTATTTCGATCTCGACGTACTTCATTCCAACACGTGCTAATATGAGAAATTGGTGCGTAAACTAATCCTTGACAGTTAGTATTCGAAATAAGATTCTGGAGTAAAAGGTTGTATCTTCTTTAAAGGTCAATGATTCTTTTGGAAAATAATTTTATGATTATTTGCAGAAGGTCCGTTTGTCTTTCATCATTTTAATGGAACGCTGGAAGACCTGAATAATAAATATCAGAAATATAAGCCTGAACTCGGTGGTAAATTTAAACCATTGGAGTGCCCGGAGAGAGAGAAACTAGCAATAATAATACCATACCGAGACAGACAGAGACATCTGATGGACTTCTTGTCACACATGCCACCAATGCTGCTCCGTCAACGAGTTGAATTCACTATATTTGTTATCGAGCAGGTCTGTATCACATGTTTGTGTTTTAAAATGAAATGGCGTTTGACTTTGTTCTGTTCTGCATCGACTGGGCTGATGAAGACGAGCATACGACATACAGTGTGAATTCCAACTGCCAACTGTTCTTTTATGTACACGCCAATGTGTACACGGAATCCCGGTGTTTATACCATCAGAAAGACTATATGTTGTCCCTGGTCAGGCCTGTTACATAATCACAGATTATCTGATGTTATAGACGCTTCCTGCCAACTTGACACCTGTTCGCTATCGACATCCCTGGAGTTCTTGGTCTATGGGATTATGTAACCTTACCTTGATGGCATGTCTTATTTAAACTTTCTTTGATGACAAGCAAATGTTAAACCTGATATGATACATGATACATCAGCCAGATGTCTAATAAGATTCCTTTGTCTGGAATGGTTTATAAACCCAGATTAACAAACGAAAGACAGAGAGGTCCGGACAGGACACGAGAGCAGAGGCCGTGGGCGCCTCGGCTCGGCACGAGACGGAACGAGGGAGAGCGCCCGAGAGTTGGCACATTTGTGCCAAGCTAGGATATGGCTCCCTCAATACAAGTTAGTTATGGAGTCTTTAAGTTTTGTACATAATATGTTAGAAGAAGCAGAGAATAAATGTATTATAAGAAGTTTAAACTAGTCTTGTCATCTGAAGTTGATTAAAGAACCAATACTGTCACAGGCCCCCGTTCTGCACCAAATAATAAATATGCATACTAATTTAGAAACCGTTAAGGTATCTGTACATAAAAATCTTTAAAATAGTACCACCTCAAAATGCTGTAAAATGGTTGCTAGGTACGTTTATTTGAGGTTTCCGGATACATTAAGATGTAAATAGCCATAATATTATGTTTTTACACTATGCAAATATTGGACATGATTTTATTGATACTAAAAATATTATTACGTTACAGGATCCACTAGAAAAATTTAACCGAGCACTGATGATGAATGTTGGTTATTTAGAGGCATTAAAACAAGATAACTATTCATGTTTTATATTTCACGATGTCGACATGTATCCTATTAATGATAATAATATATACCAATGTTCAACATCTCCAAGACACTTGGCTGTAGCTGTTGAGAAATGGAAATTTGGGTAGTGTACTTTTACAATTATTGAGAATATATATGACCGAAGGGGAGAAAACTCTTGATAAGGACATGGATTCGGGCCAGTAATTCTCTCCCCTGTTGATTTCAATGTAAACTCAACACAAAGTAGGGTGTTGGGGACTAGCATGATACAATTTTAATTCAATGAATGGCTTGTCGTGTACAAACTTGGGGTCATAATCGCTCCAATTGATTCAAAGACAGACCCTATGGTCTAAACCACACACGTCAGACCACACGGCCAAGCAACATTCGGCAGGGTCAGACAACTACTTATTTAGGGTGGTGACTGATGGCGTGATCTAAATATTAAGGCCAGCTGTGGATTTCGTCAATGTCGCCGATGTGTAAATTGAGTTAGGGCACGTGATTGTTGACGAGATTGTGGTTAGGTTTAGGGCTAGGTTTATGGATAACGATACCCCTGTTTACATCTCGTGACATTTGACCAGATGGCCTTAATAATTAGAATTAACCGGTGACTAATAATCCAGAAGGGGAGAAAATTGTTGATAAAGACATGGATTCAGACCAGTAATTCGATCACCCCCCCCCCCCCCACGTTGACTTCAATGTTAAATCCACACCATTCCGCGGTCTATAACAGTTTGTACTTTATCAGAGTACCAGCTGTTTTCTATCGTAAGGATCAGTATTCATCCTGGGTTCCATTTTCCCCCGTCAGCTTTCCCTCTTAATTTCATACCATATATTGTTGTCCGAAAATGAAATAGAAATATTGCATTTTTAAATTAGAATTTTATATAATATGCATAAATCTTCTTCTGTTATAAAAGAACGCCAAGATAATTTTGTTTTAAAGCTTTTACTAAACAAATCGTCTGTCATCATCAAAGTCCAGTTAGTGTTTTTCGTTTACGACCCATGAGTTTATAATGACTTTCACCAATCCCAAGAATATATTATACGCATTTATAAACTGTTGCAGTAAACCTGGCCCCGAGTTCACAAAACCTTCCCAGATTTAAAGATACATTATGGGAGATTCGGTAACGAGTTGGCAGTTCTCACTATAATAGTTAAAAACTATATAAGGTAGAAGGCAATTTAGTGAAAATTTCATTCAAATTGATCAAATTGAACCGAGAACTAAGCGACTGAAATTCCCATAAGCCTTGGTCATCATTACTAAAGTCAGTACGATAAACAGCATAGTCTCGATTATCCATTTAATCGTTTAATGAGAAGGAAATTTATGCAGTAAATCGGCTTACAATCCATTAAAGATCGCAGGCTAGCGCAGCCATCTAGAGTTCATTATGGCCTGGTTAGGTTAATTAATGTCTAATTAATAATTTAGATAACATTTCAGGCCTAAAGAAAGACCTGAAATAGGCAGATTTAGCTCTAGCATAATGCATGTTTAAGTTAAGAAATTTACTCAAATCATTTTATGAGAAATATCTGTGATCCAGAAACACAAAACTTTGTACATAGTTTCTTATTGATGTATTTGATACATTAAAAAAACAAAAGTTTTATAAAGGGCTATATTTTAGTTAAAATAAGGCGAACAATTTTGAGTAAATTCTTAACTTAAATCTGAGAATGCTTTGTGAATTTGAGGCCTGGATAATAGCTAAATCTTACATAACACCACTTTAAAGACGTAGTGTGCAGGAGCTAAATCTGTCCATGGCAGGTTATTCGTTTGTCGCCCAAGGTGTTATATAAACTATTAATTACTGTCTGAACCATTGTAAATTTAAAACGGATTTCTTCGATTATGAACAAACTACTTAACTTTGGTTATTATAAACTTACCTGTGTGTTTGAAATCAACTCCCGTTAAATAAAATCCTCTGCACAACTTATTATCCCAGCAAATAAAAAAGTTCTCTCTTGAAAAATTTAATTCCCACAAACTTTGACATAGAAAAATACCAATATGGAAGCTGATTACGTCACTCTCCGGGAGATATCATTTCGTATAAGGGTAACAGCATAGCAAATCGGCACTTTTACGACAATTCAAGTTTGGTTTAAGAAAAAGCTACAAATCTCGGCTCGGCATTGAGTTTGGGCGTTCACACACATAACTGTCCGTATTCTTTTATTTTGTTGCCGTCTTTTACATTCTAGTAAAATCTCTGCAAATTTTATAACTTTACCTTTTGAAATATTTTGTTTTAATTATTTGATTAGCTACTCGGATGAGATAATTTTCTTTTGAACACACATGCTGCACAACAACAATTACATTTGTTTTACGGACCTTAAATATTACCCATGATTATCTTTAGTTTATATATGACTTTATTTTTACGAGTATCAGTGATATTTTCATTGTGAATAAAATTTGATAGACTGGCGATCAATGGTTTCAACATGGACCGTATATATAGATGCACAGGAAACGTCGACGAAGCCTTTAGAATTATGTGCCGCAACAAAAAATAGACCGGACAATCGTGACTAAAATAAAATTACCTCCCCTCGCGCAATTACCAGTATTAAGTTTAAAAGCAAAGAAACATAAATCAATTTATAATATTTTGTATTAATCTTGCTACTCTTTTTTTCTCTGCAATCCATACATAGATATAAATGTAGTAAATGTATCAACACATCGTCTTTGTTTACTTCGGACGCGCCCATGTGAATTCGAAAACAACATGTTGTCTTTTTGTTAAAAACAAACCTACTAAAACATTCTTTTAATTTTTACTTCTGCACAATTAATCATCATTCCGGCGGTATTATTCCTGAACTTTATTTTCATAATTTTAAAATCATTCGTACATGCGGGAATTTGGAGTATTTAGCAAAATCAAAATTGTTACAAAAACTACGAAAATATTGAAATCGATCATTCCACAATTATCAACTGCTGCATTTGGAAATTTCAAAGTTATAAACTTGAGAACTTCGTCACTACCGGATAGGAATACTTATTGGGTTGAACAATTACCATGTAACTATAAGAATACTGTAAGTTCGAGAAATTTATCTGTATAAAATCCAGCTATGTCAAATATCACATCGCTTGATCTGCCGTTGACAATTGAGATCTCGTCATGTCTCGAGCGAGCGGCAGAGAACCCAATCAACGGGACTATACTGTCCACGGTTTCAATATAAATCTTCAGTTGATATTTCCGTCGCCCAAACTCAAACGATCGTAATGGTCGCGCTTTGTTTTCATTGCAACACGTAGTTATCAAACTATCTGTCAAAATTAAACCAACCCCGCAACCGCTGCAATGGGATCGTCCAACACGTAACGAAAGCATTGTTGTCGTCCACTCAGTCGAAAATACAAGTAAATAGTCAAATTTGTCAAGGGAGAACTTTTTTATACGTTGGGATATTTAGATGTGAAATGGATTTTATTGGACGGGAGATGATTTCAAACACACAGGCACGTTTATAATAACGATAGTTAAGTAGTTTGTTCATAATCGAAGAAATGCGTTTAAAATTTACGATGGTTCAGACAGTAGACATCTATTCACATGAAAAGCCCATAATCAACCCCCTATAGCATTATAATCAACCCTCTATACCATCATAATCAACCCTATAGAGCACCGTATTGCAGATTTATAAATGGATTTGAACAAGCGCTAGATTAAAAACATTAACGATAAAATGAATTGTAGAGAATTAGTCTCGTTTGTCCAGTACTGTAGTACTGTTGCTACGATAATGGACAATCTAAGTTACGTCTTTGCTCAGAATAAAGTAAACTGAATGAAATTTTCAATATATTCATTTTGTATTATCTATTTTTGAATTTATATAGCAAGAACGGTCAAGTCTTTATCTAAATCTTACATAACGTCTCTTTAAGAATGCTGACAGTTGTTTTTTGTTCCACCAGATTACCGTACCTTAGTTATTATGGTGGAGTTGTTGCTTATCCTAAGACTGTTATAGAAAAGACCAATGGATTCTCCAATCTGTACTTTGGTTGGGGTGGTGAAGATGATGATCTAGGAGCCAGGTAAAATCAGATGCGTGTGGCGAGAGGGGGGGGGGGGGGGCGAGAGAGTCAAATTAGAATTAGGTTTTTTAAAAAATTGAAATGAGGTTTAACGTCCATTACGGTACCTTTAGCTCCTGAGAGGGGATCGTCGGGTGTCAATTGCGTATGCTTTAGATCATAAAGTAGGCCTGAAATTGAGTCATGTGACGTGGTTTCTATATTACAAAATGGCGGCTGTAGTTTTTGGTATACAAAGCGTCTGGATATTTATGAATACAATTTGTTTTGTAAATTCGTTGCAGTAGTTTATTGTATACATAGCGTCGGGATTTTTATGATTACTATTTGTTTTACAGATTGGCGGTGATAGAGTTGAAGTTTGTACGTCCTTCCGCAGTTTATGGTAGATATGCCACCCCTGTTCACGGCAAGGATAAAGGCAATCCAGTGTCCCCAGACAGGTATTTATAGCTGAACAAGTTTTATACACTTGCTAATCCCATTCTTCTTGTTGTAAAATGAAATGAAATGGAGTTTAACTTCCTAATGTTCTGCTCCAACTGGGGTAATAAAGACGGACTTGCAATGAAATGAAATGGGGTTTAACGGTCTACTGATCTCAATCTGATTCAAATACAGATCTATATTTCGTTTCGTTTTTTATACTTTCGATGGCCTACACTACATGAAGATCTGAACGGTTGTTGCGATAGGTCAGGTCAGAGGTCATACGAGCGGCAAGTGAGCCTATGACGTCAGACATTTGATTAACCAAGCAGCATTAGTGTTACTAGTGGATTACCCACAGTTCCGTGCAAAACACGACTAAAGCTCACCGTAACAGACCATTTCATTGGCTAATACCTCACACTATTCAGAACACGTCAATGATAACAACTCTTCCAGATCCTAGTGTAGTAAAGACCAAGTAAAATGAAATTTTGAACTATAAAAACGAAACGAAATAAGATTTGTGTTTTAATCAGATTGGGTGAAATGGATAATGCCAACTTTAAAACATTGGCTCTTTAACTTTCTTTCATCTGCAAAAAAAAAAAAAAATTTTTTTTAAAAAAAATAATTATTGTTCATCCCAGGATAAAGACTGAAAGAGTTCTGCTTTTTCTTTCTTCTTAGCCTTTTAGTGTTTTGCAAATGACGGACATACACCATACAGTGTGCTATGAGGGAGATTGTGCCCGAACAGCGGCGCCACGGCTTACTATTATGTCGAATCCCAACTGTCAACAGATCTTTTACGTGCAAGCCAATGCGTACACGGGACCTCGGTTTTTCGTACCACCCGAACGACTAGACAGCTGTCTTTATCAATCCCTCTATCCTGCACCACTGACAAAGGGAAATCCCGATAAACTTTCTCAACCAACATCGGGATCGAACCCGTAACCTCCAGGCTAGCGAGCTAGCGTCTTACTCACTTAGCCACCGTGCATACGCCATACCATGTGTTTGTCCGGACAACGAGGGTTCTTTTTCGCACACGCTAATGTGTAGGTGGTTTTCGTCCCATCCGAACGACTATGAATTGTTCCTTGCCAGGCCCCCTGTCCTGCACACCTACAAAGGGAAACCACGCCGGAAAATCCCGATGAACGTCATTGTCCAACGGCGGGATCGAACATGGGACCTCCATGCTAGAGAGACAACGTCTTACACTACTGACCCAAAACAAAGACCCAAATCTGTAATATTTTTCAGATTCAGGCTTTTAGGGAAAGCCAAGAGTCGTATATGGTACGATGGACTAAACAGTGTTGTGTATAATGTAAGTAAAATAGAAAAGAAGAAAATATATACACACATACATATAACAGTGGATCGGAAAAAACTTGAAGAGGTGGGTAAATTAATGATATAACCCTGGGTAGTTGGTGTATCCAGATAGATTTTATTTTTTGATTGTGGAACATGGTGATTTTTTTTTTTTGGGGGGGGGGGGGTGCAGGAGGAGGGGCTGCAGGAGGGGGTATAGTGGTAAAGCAAGACTGAAAAGTAATAACGGTTTAAAAAAAAAGATTAAAATTAGGTATCTAAACCACGGATTCCCAACCTGGGATAAAATTAGCGATTTAAACTAAGGATTCCCAACTGGAGCAAAATGAATCTTCCCAAGGCTTCCCAACATGGGTTGGATTAAAAGAGTGAACGAAGGTCCCGAACCTGGGGATAAAGTAGCGATCTAAGCCAAGGTTTCCTGACCTATGGTTTATTTCGTCCAACTAGTGGGTAAATGGGAGGATTTTGGATTTGTGCATGTTTTTTGTTTTAAATTTAACATTTGAACCAGGAACAGGGCGCCCGATCTTTACTCATCTGGTTGTTTGTCTTGGTCTTGGAGATGACGCTCAATCTTTACTCATCTAATTGTCTTTCTGTTTCTTGGGAGTGACGATCTTCGAAATAAGACAAACCTAAGGCACCACAAGTTCAAATACCTTTCTACATGACATGTGGCATGTTTGTTCCATCATATTCGACCATCGAGTGACGGGCCTCGATTTTTGATATGACGTCACATTTCCAATATGGCTTGTTTCCTGTTCCATGGATATTATCGGTAATTATAAACTGAAATTACTGACGCACAGCGGGGAATGTTTACTTGTTGGAAGTTGCCATGAGAACGAAAAACTACACGCAACTTTAATACTGTAAAGGGAGATAAAGGGAGACTACTCGTTTAACTTTAATTCTTGAAACGGGATTTAAGTAAGGCTAGCGAAGACGGGTACGCAGTGTGCCATTAGGGAAATTATGCCCGGACATTGGTACTACGGGCTACACTTATTTCGAATTTCAACACTCAAGTTTTCTTTTACATACGCGCCAACGTGTACATGGGAACTTGGTTTATATTCTGAACTGTTATTTGCCAGGCCCTGGGCCCTGCACCGCTAACATAGCCGTACCATGTCAGGCCGTGCGTCGTGTACCGCTAACAGGGTAAGGGGGTACCATGACGTGCCATGCGCCCTGCACTACTTACAAGACAGTACCATGCCAGGGCCCCTACTTCACTAACAAGAGGGTACTATGCCCTGCATCGCTATCAAGAGAACAGAGACCTACTGGTCAGTGACCTAGCGCCTTACTCACTTGGCCACTGCGGCCTTCAGTTTCAATTGTAAATATGTACTCTATATATCTTCAGAATGTGAAGTTAAAGAAAATAGAATTGGAAAAGCAGCAGCATAAGAAAATGTCTCTCATTGATAAGCAGTAATGGTCTTCACTTGGAAAAGCAGCAGTAATGGTGTTCCCTAGAATTGTTACCGGTGTATTCCAGTTGTATTCTTAAATGCCATGGAAACAATCAGTATTATTGTTGTTTCGTCGTCCTTGGAATGATGTGTTTTAGTGTGTTTGGTTGTTGTCATCGTGTGGATGATTGTGTTCATGAACTCAGTGTTTCATATAGCCTATGATCTCAAAAGCCACGTGTTCTATTAAACGTGTCTTATTGTAATAGGGTGTTCATGAACCCAGTGTTTCAGATAGCCTATCAACTCAAGAGCTCAGTGTTCCATTAAACATGTCGTATTGTAATAGGGTAGAACCGACCAATGTGATTATTTATTTGTTTATTAATTTTTTTATTGACTTGTACAATCCAGAGCCCCCGGTGGATCAGTTAGTAAGACGCTGGTGTAAGTGTTACACGACAGCAAGTCAGGTTTGCAACTCTACTCTTTTCACAAGGTTATTTCTGACAACCCATCCTGTAATGGTGGTCACCAAACCAAAGATACTGAACAGTTTATTTTACATTGCTCCTTATATTCAGATATCCAGAACAAGACACAATCTATCGTCTATCTAACACTATGCAGGACGGAGGGCCTGACAAGGACAGCTGTCTAGTCCTTCGGATGAGACGAAAAACCGAGGTCCCGTGTATACATTGGAATGCACGTAAAAGATCCCTTGGCCGTTGGAATTCGATATAAGAGTAGGCGATAGTACCGGTGCCCGGGCAAAATTTCCCTCATAGCACACTGTATGGCGTATGCCCGTCTTCATTAGCTCAGTATCGGAGCAGAACAGTAGGACGTTAAACCCCATTTCATTTCATTTCATTTTATCGTAACACTAGTGTCATATTGCACGGCATTGACGACACGGAGAGCTAACTGAACATTGACGACACGGGGAGCTAACTGAATAGTTTTAAAACTGTCAACCCGTATTTCAAAATTATCAGAAGTCTCCAGCAGCAACGATAACGCCTTAGTTCAAAATTTGAGCATACAAAATAAACAGTGTAATTATATTTCCACTTGTACATTTTTTGTTTATTTATAAAATGTAAATACATGTATCTATGCCTATGCTTATATCTGACAGGGACATGATATAGGACATGTAGATTCCAAAATGTCTATTCAGATACAAATCCCTATTCAGATACAAATTCCTGTGCAGATACAAATCCAAATAAAAGATTGTTAAGAATAATTAGTATAAGACCGTCTTGGTAACCGTCTTCCCAATCGAAGGTTGTAACACTACTAGATATTACGGACTTCATTTAAATTTTATGACATATTTTTGTTGTACTGTAAGTATCATTTAAAGGGACGGTCAGAGATAACTCCTGGAGAATAAAGGGGTCAAAATGCTTAAATACTTTAAGGGAACTTTACCAGGGAAGGCGTTTATGTAGCTTTTCTATCGTTAATCCTTTAAATTGCATTATTATTATTCTTGAGACACCGGGATTTATCTGGGACTACCCTATATTTAATCATAGACAATAACCATATTTGAAATTAAAGTTGCACATATCCATTAATATTTTCCGTTTCCCAGAGCAACTTAAGCTCTTACCTCAAACCTTGATAAGCCAACGAGTAAAAAATGCAGGATGTGAAATTATATACACATCATATAATTTTCCCTTTTATCACACACTTCACAAAGAGAAAATACAGTTCAATGTCTCTATAATATATTTTAATTTTGCTACCAAAAGACTCAACTACAGTAAACAATGTTATTGCTATTTCTGTATTCGACAACAATTTGTATTAGTATATTTTGGTTTATGGACATTTCGTCCTCATATACAATTACTTTCTTTTTTAAGTAAACTTATCTACATGTTTCATAATCCTATTAAATTGTATAATAATTTAATAAACTTATATATCATAAGGCCAAACAAGTTCTATACTGTTTTAAAAAGAAGACTATGTAAACACTATTTTGTTAATCTTCAGTATTGCCTGAAAATCTTATATTTGTACGTGTTTAGCTCAATTTCGTACAATGTCATAAAACTTAAACTTACACTATCAGGTAATGTTGAACCAAACCCAGGTCCCCCTGTCAATCGTATGTCGGTCGTGCATCTGAATGTCAGAAGTCTACGTAAAAAACTTGACCTTATTGAAGCAGAGCTCTCTTCATTTGATATAATTACTTTAAGTGAAACATGGCTTGACAATAACATACCCACCGAATCACTTCTTCTTCCGTCTTACTATGCACCAATTCGAAAGGATAGGACTGACTCCATTGGGGTGGGGTAATTATCTATGTTCGTAACTCTATAGCATTCGTTCGGCGTTTAGATTTGGAAGACAGCAATACAGAATCAATTTGGCTTGAAATTAACTCTTGCAATAATAAATTTCTTCTGGGAATTTTTTACAGACCCCCGCAAACCTCTCGTGAAAACGACGCACGCACTTTTGAAGCTCTACACTCTGCCGCTAATGACAATATTAGCAAGTGTCTGGTCTTGGGTGACTTTAACATAGACATGCTGAGTAAATCGGGTACTTTTGTACATGACGCCATAAACCTTTTTGATTTTTAACAACTAATCACAAAACCAACGCGGTATCAACATAACGGAAATAATTCACTGATAGATCTAATTTTAACAAATTTTCCAAATTTCGTAAACAATATCACCGTTTCTGATAACTTTTGTAGTGATCACTGTCCTGTTTCGTGTACACTCTCGTTTAATACTCCCAAATCAAAGTGTTTCAGACAAATGATATGGGATTACCAAAACATAGATAATGACAAACTAAAAAATGACGTCATTTCGACAAACTGGTACGATCTGATACAAGATGACGACATTGATGACTCGAGTAGGAAATTTACAAGTGAATTAATCAATTTAGCTAAAAGAAATATCCCAAATAGAGTAGTAACCAAACCTTGGATGACAAGCGAAATTCGGAAAATTAGAAGGAAAAAGAATATAATTCATAAACGTGCCACCAGCACCAATTATGACAATCAATGGCAATCTTTTAGGAACATTCGGAACCAATATATAAATTTGATTAGACAAGCAAAACAAGCATATTATGATAACCTAGATGAAAAGATAAATGACAAATCGCAGTTTGGCAATAAAAGCTGGTGGAAAATTGTTAATTCATTTGTAAAAACCCAAGGCTGCACTAAACAAGACACACCACCCTTAATTGTAAATAACAACACTTTATTCACACCGCAAGACAAGGCAAACGCACTGAATAACTTTTTTGTTGAACAATCTAAACTTAATGATACTAATAAATCTTTACCCTCCATTGACAGAAATGCTAATTCATTAGAACAGATCGTACCAACCCCCCAAGAAGTTAAAGACATTATTGACAGTTTAGACACCTCAAAAGCCTCCGGTCCGGACGACATAACTGCCAAATTACTAAAGAAAATATCTACCGAAATTTCATCTCCGCTATGCTCTTTGTTTGAACTGTCACGGCTATTTTCAAAAAAGGATCATCAAACGATTGTGGTAACTATAGGCCAGTCTCTCTTCTTAGTATCATCATAAAAGTATTTGAAAAGGTTATATACAAACATGTCTTTAACTTTTTGAGAGGGAACAAAATACTAACGTCTTTTCAAAGTGGTTTTCTTCGTGGTGACTCCGCCATCTTTCAACTAATAGAACTAACACATATGTTTTGTCAAGCCATTGACCAACATTCTTCTACTCGAGTTGTTTTTTGTGACATCAGCAAAGCGTTCGACAAAGTCTGGCACGCCGAACTTTGTTGGAAGCTGGATGGAGATGGGATCAGGGGTAGCCTCTTAGAATGGTTTAAAAATTATCTTTGTAATAGACAACAATCAGTTGTTTTAGAAGGCCTATCTTCTGATCCAAGAACCATCCATGCTGGTGTACCACAAGGATCTGTTTTTGGACCGCTATTGTTTTTAATTTATATTGATGATATTGTGAACAACCTTGATTCCAATGTTAGACTATTTGCAGACGACACTTCACTATTTGTAAAAATGGATGACCCTTGTACAAGTTCGGATATTCTGAATAATGATTTAAAGAAAATAAATGACTGGGCAGACTTGTGGTTGGTAACCTTTAACCCTCTAAAAACGGAAACATTAACCTGCTGATGTGTCCCAACAGATAAACTGGATAACAAACCACGAGATCCCGAGTTAGCTGCGATATTACCCAGAATTGTCCAGTTTGGTTTCTTTCTGTCCTTGACGCAGGGTGCAGAATCTGACAAAATTCCGCGTTCATGTTTACGGGCGTGTAAAATAAACTTTGACAGTCTAAGTTCAATTCTGGCATTAGCAGGTGCAGAGTCTGACAAGGTTCCGCGTACACGTTTACGGGCGTGTAAAATATTATTTGGCAGTTGGAAATCGACAAAGAGTACGCGTTTCGTGTAGACGTTAAAATTGGTGCTCAGTATGCAAAATTCCCCATATACACGCAAGTGGTCAGACACTATATCGACAAATGATGCTAACCAATCAAATAAAACGTAAATACATAAACTATTTATAACATTATATGAACATACAATATACAATTTAAAATAACAATAAAAAATAACCTATTTATATATGATTAATATTATACAGTTTAAAATAATAATAACCTATTGATCTATAATACAGTGTATAAAACAATAACCTATTTATCTATGATTAATATTATACAGTTTAAAATAATAATAACCTATTGATCTATAATACAGTGTAAAAAACAATAACCTATTTATCTATTATAATAACAATAACCTATTTATCTATTAAAATAACAATAACCTATTCATCTATTATAATAACAATAATCTATTCATCTATGATAATAACAATAAAAATAACCTATTTATCTATTATAATAACAATAACCTATTTATCTATTATACAGTTTAAAATAACAATAACTTATTTATCTATTATACAATTTAAAAAACATTAACCTAGTTATCTATTATGTATATTTAATTTTTTACAATTTATCTATTTATTACATCATGTTAATTCTTAAACATACATAATGCAAGAGCTAAATTTGCCTATTGCAGGTCTTTCGTTAGGCCTGAAATCTTATCTAAATTATTAATTAGACATTTATTAACATGAAAAGACCTTAATCAACTCTCGATAGCATCGCTAGCCTGCGATGTTTATTGGATTAGGTTCCGGCTTCCATTCATAAGTTAACCATGAAATGGATAAGGGATACTATGCTTTTTTATTCTACTGACTTTAGTAATGATGATCGAGGCTAGACCGAAAATTCAAACGCTTAAATCTCAGTTGATAGTCATTGATCAATTTAACTGAAATTTTCAGCAAATTCCCTTTACATTATCTAGTTTTTAACTATTATAGTGAGAACTGCCAGCTCTTTATCTGATCTTCCATAATGTATCTTGAACATTTAATACAGTTTATCATAATTAACATCTAATTTTTTACAATTAAACTATATAACATTTAATTTGTACAATTTATCTATTTATTACATCATATTAAAATTTAATCCATACAGTTATTTAACATCACATATTATACAGATTAAAACAACCAAATAGTATTAAATATTATAACAATAATGAATTCATTTACAACTTGGGAGCCGCGTTAGTTCAGTAAGTAAGACATTGGCTCGGTAACCATGTGGTCTGGTTTCGATCCCAGTGTACTATGAAGGAATTGTGCCCATGCAGAGCGGCTACGGCCTACTCTTATATCAAATTCAAACTGTCAATGGACCTCGGATTTTCGTCCCGTCCGAGCGACTAGACACTTTCCTTGTCAGGCTCTCTGTAAAGCACCATCTAACAAGGGGGAGTCACTCTGGAAAAACGCAAGGATCGAACCCTAGACCTCCTAGTTATTGATTCAGCGCCTTACTCACTTAGCCACGATTTCATTAAAGTTTCGCGCTGTCCATTTCCTCATATATATCCAGTGCTCCGTCGTCGTCAGGATCCGTCTGCACGTTTTCATAGAAATCATCGGGTGGTTCAGGTGACGTCATTTGTTTCCCAGTACCAGGCGTGACTCTACTCTGAGGCCTGGAAGCGCTTTGATTGTCCATATCGATATAAAAACCAGGATCTTCACAAGGAACTACGTAATTGTCCTCCTCATCTGGATTTTGATCGATGTCCTTCTCATCGTTTACATAAATATCTTGATTCGACAGATGATCGTCGTTATCGCCGTCCGCAGCACTACGACGAGTAGTGACTGGATCCATGCTGCTCTCAGATTGTAACTCAAGTTGTCTAGGAGCTGGTGGTATCTTATAATCATCAGCGTCAGGTTCTTCATCTATGTCCTTAGAACTTCTTCCAGATTGTCTCGAATTATATGAATTTCTGAGTGGAACCTCTTTCAGAACTTCCGGTGGTTTCAAATGAGCACCATCGTGATCGTGTAATCCTCCAGATCTTCTCGAGTTATTTGAACTTCTGAGAGGAACCTCTGACAGACCGTCCGATGATTTTAAGTAAGTATCATCATCATCGTGTGATTCTGATGTTGGCCGCGCGTTTGTGTCCTTTACAGAGTCCGCATTATCGGCTGTAAAATCTTGGTAGGTCGTACTGGTGGTGGTAGTGGATTGACGGTTCTGTTCTTTGTTATATATATCCATTAATGTCGACCGCCTTTTCCTGGTATGAAGAGTTACAACTTCTGTTTGTTCTATGCGTTTCCTAAAAGGTCAAATTTTGACATAAACAGTTAATACATTAGTGTGGGGCTAGGATATGACATACAATGAAATGGGGTTTGGCGTCCTACTGTGCTAATGAAGACAGGCATACGACATACAGTGTGCTATGAAAGAAATTTTGCCCAGGCAGCAGCACTATGGCCTACTATAATATCGAATTCCAAAGGCCAAGAGAACTTGTATGTGAACGCCAATGTATACACGGGACCTCGGGTTTTCGTCCCATCCGCACGACTAGTCAGTTGCCCTTGCCAAGTCCTTCGTCCTGTAATACAGACATGGGGAAGTCGCGTCGGAAAATCCCGATGAACGCGTGGCTAGGAGCTTTACAAATGAAATGAATGGAGTTTAACGTTCTACGTTTCTGCTCCATATGGGCTAAAGAAGACGGACAAACGCCATAAAGTGTGCTATGATGAACATTTTTGCCAGAATAGCTCAGTCTTTAGTCCCTCCAAACGATTACGCCCTTTTCCTTGCCCGGGGAAAGCATGTCTGAAGGAATATTCATACAAGCCCCGAGATCGAAACAGGCGGCACCACCGTGATCGCGAGCCATCAGCGTCTCATTCACCGAGCCACCACGGCCATCAAGCAAGTTTGCAACGGACAATTGACATTTGCTGGGTGGTGGGCGGTGTGAGTCTTGATTATGACCCTCGAAAATTTACCGGACAGGTGTCATTCTCAAATACAATATCAAACACAATGTGAATAAGAAAGTGAACTGAATTTATGTTCTCGAAACATGTCTATACATTCACAATTCACACAATTGCGATATTTCAGACATTTACTTTGATAGGTTATAGAAACAAAGGATTAAACTTTATATTTAACCACCAGGATGGTACTGATACCACGCCACCACGCTATTTCTGATCTTATTCTATTCCTTTAAAATATTAATTGTGTGTATGCTATCAAAAGGTGACTAGCCAAGGATGAAATTTTATGCAATGCTAATGACTAATTTATTATAATCGCTTATTGTTTATAAAACTTTTATAGATAGAAAGTAGCTGCCAATCGTATGATTAATCTATTAATTGTTTTATTTACCATTGTTTTATTTCGCCAAGTGATTAGAAGTAATTCAGACTGACTGAAAACAATTATTATTATTATTATTATTATTATTAATTCCATATATATATATGATTGTACGGTAATCTTTTAGGTCTATCCGACTTAGTAGCATAAGGTACTTGTCGGTTATCCGCGGTCCTGCAAGTGTATATAGATAATTGTTATTATAAGTTTCCAGTATTAAAGATTTGAAGAACCATAACATTTAAAGATACATATGGGTCATTCCATATCAACTGGACCAATGGTGGGAACATGACCCCCTCCTCAAAAATTATAAAAAATATATGTTATAGTATATGGCCTTAAACTAATATATCCGAAATTTACCTCTGTAGGTTGGAAACTCGCTGAGACATGGCCATTTGAAATTAGTGTACTGAAACGGATTATAAATTCAGTAATTCTTTTCAGGTTTTCGGATGCTTCAAACTCACATTTCAAATAAGAGTAGAACTCGCTAACTTTGTAATCTAAGACAACTTTTGGTATAGACTATGAATTGAGCATCACACTCCTTATCCAATGCCTAATGTTCGCGCAACTAGGTGGCAAAATGTGAAACAAATGAACAATTCACTTTTATTGTCAGTTTTTCCACAGCCTCTGGCAAAGTCACTATTGTATACACAAATTTCAAAATTGGCATAGTTAATGTCAGTTGGTCTTTTATCAATTCACAAATGATTTTAAGTCGATAATATATATACTTTCCCAAATATTCAGTCTCGAAATTCAATGCACACTGAAAACGTACAAAATATACCCATTTTCACCTTCAATTTTGGCCATATGGGACAGAGATTAAAATTCTGAAAAAGTTTGATAATGAAACTTCAATTATCCTACTATAACAGACGTTAAAGTCCATCTTGTGTATTTGATGGCTTATATTTTTAATTGGCACTTGAAATATGTGCAGTGATGATGTTCAAAATTGTTGACTTTTCACGTTGATTTTAAAATAACTTCTAAATGACCTATACTCCTCAAACGTGTCTATTTAGATTCATTTTTTGTGTAGATTACAAATATGCAATCATTTTGGATGTACATTGTATTGTTCTAGTTTTATTGTGCCTCAAAAAATAAAAAAAATGTTTAATACGCTTCACAATTGGAATAATAGGTTTTGACGATCAGATTAAAATTATTGATAAAAGACAAACTGACATTAACTATGCAAATTTTGGAGGTTGTGTATGCAATAGTGACTTTGCCAGATGCGGTGGAAATCCTGAAAAAAAAGTGAATAGTTCATTTATTCCACATTTTGCCACTGGTGGCACGAACTGTGTGAATCGCAAATTGCATAATCTACACCAAAAGTTGTCTTACATTACAAAGTTAGAGAATTCTACTCCTATTAGAAATGTGAGTTTAAAGCACCCGAAAACCTAAAAAAAAATACTGAATTTATGATCCATTTGAGTACCCTAATTTCAAATGGCCATATCTCAGCCAATTTTCGGCCTACAGAGGTATACTTTTGGATTTGTTAACTTAAGTCCATGTCCTATAACATATAGTTTTTATAATGTTTTTGGAGGGGGCCATGTTCCCAACTTTCCGAATTTTGGTCCACTTGACATGGAATGACCAATTATGTAAGATTTAGATAAACAGCTAGCAATTTTTGCTATAATAGTTCGAAAAGAGATAATGTAAAATGAATAATTTGAAAATTTCATTCAAATTAGTCTTTTGCGAGCGAAGATATTAGCCTTTGAAGTTTTGACAAGACGTGTGCAATAAATTTCAAGCTAAGTCTCGCTCCTCCATTTTTAAATTAAATCAAAATATGGCTGAATTTTCTAATCTACTTAATATCGGAGAAATCTGATGCCACCGAGAGTTGATTATGGCCCGGAGCAGTTAATTAATGTCTAATTAATAATTTAGAAAACATTTCAGGCCTACAGAAAGACCAGCAATAGGCAGATTTAGCTCTTGCATAATGTATGTTTAAGCTATGACTAAGTATAATGTCTAAAGTCTGTTTCGTCCATGTTTGTAAGCGAGATTGTCAAATAACTCGTCTGTGACCGATTCTAATTCAGTAGATATAATAATACCAAGGTGATAAACATGCTAGAATATAATAATTGGGATCAAAATTCACTACTCTAGATTCCGTCAACCAGTGGCAATACTCACTAATCGTAGGCTCGCTTACGAACATGGACGTAACAGACTTTAGACGTTATACTTTGTCATACCTTGATGTTATTTTTGAAATATTTTCCACGTTACAGTCGCCTTTGTTATATGAATGTTACATTCAGTAATAATATTGTTTTATATGCATGTTACAATAAGTAAAAATATTGTTATATGAATGTTAGAATCAATAACAATATTATTTTCGGAATATTTTGGTCTTTGTGTCGATCTCAATTTTGAAAAAAAGACGAATTAAGAATTTTGATGTAAATATATAAATATTTGGTGATGACAATAACGACGACAAGGATGATGATAATAATGATGATAATGATGAGGATGATGATGATAATGATGATGATAATGATGCAATGACGTTTTGTTGAAATGTTAAACGCTTTAAAAGTAAATATTACCTCCAATAGCAAAACAGTACTACACCTACTATTATCATAAGAGCAGCAACAATCAAACCAATCATCAAACCGGTATATTCAAAGTCTAAAATACACAATATATCAACATAATATATCATGATCTGAATATACATAATATATCATGATCTGAATATAGACAATATAACATGATCTGAATATACATAATATATCATGATCTGAATATACATAATATATCACGAACTGAATAGAGACAATATATCATGATCTGAAAATACACAAAATTCATGATATGAATATACACAATATATCATGATCTAAATATACACAATGTATCATGATCTAAATATACACAATGTATCATGATCTGAATATACACAATATATCATGACCTGAATATTCACAATATATCGTGATCTAAATATACATAATATACCATGATCTGAATATACATAAATTATCATGATCTGAATATATATAATATATATCATAGTCTGAATATACATAATATATCATGATCTGAATATACATAATATATCATGACCTGAATATACACAATATATCGTGATCTAAATATGCATAATATATCATGATCTAGATATACATAATATATCATGATCTGAATATACATAATATACCCTGCATGATCTAAATATACACAATATACAATAATTATGTCAATTAAGATACCCTAAGCTGTACATGATACTACACATAATACCAAAAGCTGTCATATTAGAGGCTATAAACACTGAGCATAAACTGTCGTGTATACGACACCCACCACAAAAATTAGTCAAGAAGATGTCGTATATTAGTAGTATTCTGCCGTGTACACGACATCCGGCACAAAGTGGTATCAAGTGTTCTCAAAAAGTGAACATACCCTTATTTGTACAACATCCCGGTAACATTGAGCATAACCTACCTTGCATCGAAAACCATTCAACACACATCATCAGTTCCGGAAGTTGTGGGGATTCGATGGTCTAGTGATTTAACGCCTGTGCGTGAAATCTTTTGGTCTGTCATTGAGTCCATGGCGTGGGTTCTATTCACTGCTTGTATGCGATAAGAAGTAAGGTATCGTTTTCAACCTTGTGGTTTCCTCCCACTGATAAAGACCCCTACGCTCAAGCGAATAATTGAAATAAAATTGAACCATAATAATATGTTATTCCCGAAATGACCTATTTTTTCTCTCTTCAGAAGTTGTACCAATTGTGCCGGAAATAGTAAGCCTGCCCTGCCGAGTACATGACATCTATTACTAAACACCAGTTGCATTATTTTCTTTATAATCCCCATTTAGTGAACGATTCCCGGAATATCTATTTACTGCCTAATGTGAACATTGACTGAATATGAAATATTTTACCTTTTTCTTTTTTGTTAACTGGACTCTTAATTACAGGCGGATCAGTACATACACACGAGAGGTTTCGGAATCCCTGGTTAACTGAACATAAAAATAATTGTAAATAAATTGAAAAGCACTTCTTTGCTCCACAAATTGAACTAATAAATTATGCTATTAGGGGACAATTATGACCGGACAGATGAATTTCCGACTATTCCCTCCGTCGTGGGTTCTTTGGCGTGCACGCCAACATGTACACAAGACCTTAGTTTTTCGTCCCATACCTACGTGTCCTGTACCACTGACAAGGGGAAATCACGCGGGAAAATCCCGGAGAACTATCTCGACCACCACCGACTGTCTCTACTTCTGGTACCAGGGGTGGAACCTAAACACAAATAATGGCTTTAGAGCATAAGGTCTGTTATTGAGTCAAGTGGAGTAGTTCCGATTCCCACCTTGTATATGAAAAGTGGTCGGGTCGTTATCCACCCTCGTTTGTTTTTCTACGGGTCATCCGGTTCCCTCCTACCGCCAATGAACCCTACATGTAAGCGAATAAAAGATCTATTCTAATAATTTTAAACCATATGTCAGTCCCGAAATGACCTAGTTTTGTTTTGAGTGGACGTTAAACCAGAACATATATAATCATCCGTACCCAATGTAATCCAGTATAATGATATTTATGAAAACAATACCTGTTAATTTAAACAAGAAGTACTCATCACGTTTAAATACCAAATCCTTGAACTGAACTCGGCTACCACCAGTCATATTCATAGGTTCTTGGAAGTTCTCGTTACGTGTACTACAATTCAGTAATCTCTCGTCTTGTGGATATATTCTTATTTTGCTACAAGTCTCAACACTTAAATCTCTGTAGTAAACTACCAACGTATCTTCTATCTGGATGTTGATAATCTGACAGGAACACGAAGTTTCCAGTGGTTGATCTTCACCAGAATAGTAAATAAACGACTCGTTCGTCAATGATTGGGCTGTTAGATTTAACAAGTTGTGTACGGCATTCTCTGAGAATTAAAAGCAAATCAAATCAAATTGTTCATGTGACATTTTAGTAAATTGTTCACATTAAATAGTGTAATGGAATTCAATTTCTGAAGTATTAATAAGGACAACAACAGAAATGTTGCTTCTATAAAATCTAGGACTTCTATTCTATAAAGTAGGGCTTTTTCATATAGAATGACCGATTAAATGGCCTCAATTGATTTCTTAAAATTTCTTAATATTAAATTAAACTTCAGGTTCGATCCCGGTGTTGGCCGAGTTAATACCGCTGGATCTTCTTGCCTGATTTCACCGTTGTCCGTGACAAGGAAAAGGATTCTGTTCGTTCGGATGTGACAAAACACCGCGGAATGAATTCTTTGTAGTTCGAATTCGATTAAGAGTAGACAGAAACTCAATAGCTTAAACCCCATTTCACCTTAACATCTCATTTGACCAATGGTTTAGGTCGTAATGGCAATAATGGAAACTAATTCTCCATTGTTATAGCTTTAAACGGTATTCATTTTGAAGCAATAAAAATGAAATAAAATGAACTTTAACGCCCCGCTGTTCTGTGCCGACTGCGCACACGTATTTAATCGAATTCCAACTGCCAAGGTTTATTTATGTTATACACGGGACCTCGGGTTTCTGTCCTGCACCACGGGCAAGAGGGAACCACGCCAGAAAATCCCGACGAACATAATTTAAATTAAATTAAATTAAATTAAATTAAATTAAATTAAATTAAATTAAATTAAATTAAATTAAATTTTAAATTAAATTAAATTAAATTTTAAATTAAATTCTAAATTAAATTAAATTAAATTAAATTAAATTAAATTAAATTAAATTAAATTAAATTAAATTCTAAATTCAATTCAATTCAATTCAATTCAATTCAATTCAATTCAATTCATTTCAATTCAATTCAATTTCTAATTCAATTCAATTCAATTCAATTCAATTCATTGGAATTCCAATTCCAATTCCAATTTTAAACTCAAATTCAATTTCAATTTTAAATTCAAATTCAATTTCAATTTCAATTTTAAATTCAAATTCAATTTCAATTTTAAATTCAAATTCAATTTTAAATTCAAATTCAATTTTAAATTCAAATTCAATTTCAATTTTAAATTCAATTTCAATTTTAAATTCAATTTCAATTTTAAATTCAATTTCAATTTTAAATTCAATTTTAAATTCAATTTCAAATTCAATTTCAAATTCAAATTCAAATTCAAATTCAAATCCAATCAAATCACCAACCTTTGATACATGAATAACTGTAGTACACAGACTGGTAAGTAGTATTAGGTTGGTAAAATGGTGTGAGATTACAGCTGTGTTGATTGATACAACGTTGATATACGGATAACAGACCTCTTCCTGTCCATGGTGTTTGCATATCTTTTTCTGATTCATCAAACTTACAGCAAGTCGAATTACACTGGTCCTCCTGTAATCTTGTACAATTATTACCCTTAGTACCGAATCGGATGCTTCCCCCTTCAGAATCCGAAGTCATTATTATAACGTTACCATCTCCACAAGACAGGGTGCGCTCTAGACAAGGTTCCGGTGGACCATAACAACCTTCTACAACTTCACAATAAACTCCACCAACTGTTCAAAAATGAAAAATAATACAATTAGGTCTGGCAAGGGACAACAAATAATCGTTAAGATTGGTCGAAAAAATGAAATGGGGTTTAACGTCTTACTGTTCTGCTCCTAAACTGGGCTAATGAAGACGGGCATACGCCATACAGTGTGCTATGAGGGAAAGTTTGCCCGGGCAGCGGCGCTACGGCCTACTCTTATATCGAATTCCAACTGCCAAGGGATCTTTTACATGCACGCCAATATGTACACGGCACTTCGGTTTTTCGTCCCATCCGAACGACTAGACAGCTTTCCTTGTCTGACCCTCCCTCCTGCATCACTGACAAGAGGGAACCACGCTGGAAAATCTGGATGAACTTTCTCGGCCAATGCAGGGATCAAACACCCGACCTCCAGGCTAGCGAGCCAGTGGCTTACCCACTTAGCTACGTGATCCTCTAGATTAGGTGAAAACCAAAGGTTCCGTGTACACATTGACGCGTACCTTAAAACAACCGTTCTTTGACAGTGAGAGAGAGAGTGGGAGAGAAAGGCAGAGAGAGAGAAAGAGAGAGAGACAGAGGAAGCAGTGGGAGGAAACCGGAGGACCCTGAGAAAACCCAGAAGGGTAGACAGGTGACCCTATTCCTTGTCACGTACAGTTGACTCAATGACAGACCTTATGATACAACACGCACACGCTAGCCATTCGCCCATCCACCCCCCACCCCCAGCATTCGAATAAGAGTAGGCCATAGCGTCGCTGCCCGGGCAAAATGTACCTCATAGCACACTGTATGGCGTATACACTATTGCATTATCCCAGTCGGAGTAGATCAGTAGAACGTTAAACCCCATTTCATTTCATTTTAAAAAGCATAGACTTACGACAAGGGAATATTGGGGGAGAAAGAGACTGAAATGGGGTTTAACGTCCACTCGACACAAACTAGGTCATTTCGGGACTAACTTATGGTTCAATTTTATTTCAATAATTCGCTTGCGCGTAGAGGTCTTTAGCAGTGGGAGGAAACCGGAGGACCCGGAGAAAACCCACGAGGTTGGACAGGCGACCCTACTCCTTGTCACGTAGGAATATTGGGTAGTTTGGCGTGGAAATATTTTGACGTAGCATAAACCTACCCCTGACTGTCTATAAATTTAACAGCTTCCTCGTTTCTTTCCTCAGTCTCTTTTTAATTGTTGTGTGTGATGCACTCTTCCTGTACTTTTCGAGTTCATGTGTTTGTCTATGATCGAGTGTGCTATGTTTGGCAAGGCATCAACAACTGGATTACAGTTGTCAAGACATTGTGTACAACGGAATTCGTCTGATTTAAATGAACACAGACGTAGCCTACATTGAATGATTACCGTACCACAGTACATTTTAGCTCTTCATTCTAACACCCATCTCTCTCTCTCTCTCTCTCTCTCTCTCTTTCTCTCTCTCTCTCTTAGTGCTTAATACCTCTAGAGGTTTAAGACCCCACCTTTAAAAATCAGTACATATCTCTACTCACCCAATACCAATACGAGACTAACAACTAAAGCGAATCTGGATAATCTAGACAACATCTTCTTCAACTGTTTTAACGTATCTCTATCTATGTATCTATGATTTCTTCAACTAGTTTAACGTATCTCTATCCAAGTTTTCTAGCAATTCACCGTTCAGTATGCTTCTACTTAAAATTTTAAGCTAAAATGGCGATTCGGGAAGTAGTAATAACATGCATATATTAATAGTATTTGCATGTCTACCTGTCTAACGTGTATATATATATATATATATATATATATATATATATATATATATATATATATATATATATATATATACAGGTATATATATGCTATATATGAAATGGTTAATAGTGATTCGTATAATGCATAGTCAACTAGAAACATAAAAGGCATTCACATTCTAACTACATGAATACAGAGTGACGTATTAGTGTAACAAATGCATGGCTTTTGTCATTGTTTGGATTATAGGACTAAACGAAACATACCCCTTCACGCCTCCTTTTCTTTGCGTTAACTACGTGGGAGGGCGGCGTCAAGAAAAACCACGACAAATGGCTCTCACTGTAACGAAACGTCTTATTGGTTTCCAACCAATTTTTAACAAACTAGAGATCTAAAACGATATTGGGGGGGGGGGGTCGAATCATAAGGTTTGTCATTGAGTCAACTGGCGTGGTTTCGAATCCCGGTTGTAGGTGACAAGGAGTATAGGGTCGCCTGTCCAACCTCGTGGGTTTTCTCCGGGTCCTAGTTTGTTTCGACGTTAAATCTCTCTCCGATTGGGGGGGGGGGGGGGGTACAGGATCTAAAAACTTTGTAGAGAGCAGGACTCATGTTTAACTAAATGTAGTAAATTCGGGTTATCGTGTACATTAATAACAATGTTGTTTTTAAAGGTGCAATATGTAAGATTTAGACAATCTGGTTAAAACACAGATCCTATTTCGTTTCGTTTTTATAGTTCAAAATTTCGTTTTACTTGTCTTTACTACACTTCATGTAGTGTAGGCCATCGAAAGTATAAAAAAAACGAAACGAAATATAGATCTGTATTTTAACCAGATTGAAGATTTAGATAAAGATAAGACAGTTCTCGCTATGATCGTTTAAAATAGATAATGAAAAGGGAATATGTTGAAAATTTGTTCATTCTGAGCGGAGTTATCGTCAGTGGTAAAACAATGTAGTCTTGATTGCCATTGATACCGTTGTTACGATAATACAAACAGTCTCGATTATCCTTTTTTAAATTAAATCATTAACTGCAATCTGTTGAAAACCAAAAACATCCGAAGTTCTAGAGAACTGATTATTGACTTGGCATGTACATAAATATCTGATTAATGATTTATATAATTCTTTAGACCAAAGATCTGCATTAGACAGATTTAGACCTTTAATGCATATGAATTACTGTATTTTAAAGGAACTGTTTATTTGTCTGAAACAAGGAAAAGTTTACTTTGTAATAATACACTTTCCTGTGTAAATACAGAAGTTAAAATTAAAATTTTATTCACTTTCAATAAGGAACCAAATGCAATTAGTTTTATAAAATTCTGAGTAAATACTATTTTCATTCAGATGAGGTTCCTTAATAGCCTTATCGAAACACAATCAGCCTTATTATGATACCAGTCAGACATTAATAAAGTTCCTGAACCAAAATTTGTTCCACTTGTCGTTTTGTTCGTCCGACTGGTATATCGATTGGTCCAGGTGGTCGTTGGCCAAGTGGTCTGAGACCCGACTTTCTTCGACACCGTCTACTGACGTATACATTCAGACACGGTTTTTATGTCAATATTCCGTCTTCACGGTGTGTTTTAAATGATAAACCTCTGGAACTGCATTTTTATAAATCTGTTCTAAAAAATGGATGTTATGGGCCTACTAATTTGCCATTATGTATTTGAGTTTGATTCCATCTTAGGACAAAGATCAATGGTGCTGTGTATCCAAGCCATGTATATTTGAAATAAAATGGAATGAAAATTAAAAGAAATAGGGTTTAACATCCTACTGTTCTGCTCCGACTGGACTAATGAAGACGGACATACGCCATACACTTTGCTATGAGGAAATTTTGCCCGGACAGCGTCGTTACGGCCTACTCTTATATCGAATTCCAACTGCCAAGGGATCTTTTACGGACACGCCATGGTATACACGGGACCTTGGTTTTTCGTACTATCCGAACGACTAGACATCTATCCTTGTCGGGCCCTCCGTCCTACACCACTGACAATCACGCCGGAAAACCCAATGAAATTTCTCGGCTAACACCAGGATCGAACCCGCGACCTCCAGGCTGTTGAATAGCATAAAGTCAAATCACGATATCGACAACCTACTGACATTACTTTTAAAAAACTGTTCGCGACTACCTTACCCACACAGGGCTTGTTTTCGAAACACAATATGAATTGAAGTAGTCGATTTATTAAAAAAAAAACATATTTACAACACGTTGTATCATAAGGTCTGACATTGAGTCAACTGGCGTGGTTTCGATTCCCCGGTTGTACGTGACAAGGAGTAGGTTTTCTCCGTTTTCCTCCCACTGCTATAAAGACTCCTACGCGCAAGCGAATTATTGAAATAAAATTGAACCATATGTTAGTCCCTACATGACCTAGTTTGTGTCGAGTAGTGACATGGTCAAGACATTGATAAAAGAAGAGAAATTGTATACAAAGGAGTTTATGAAACGGCCGTGAGCCAAAATATTATATATACATGTATACATAATACATGTATTAATATATGTTAGTGTGTCGTCAGTTGATAAATGGTTATGTTAATATGTGTTAGTGTGTAACTGTCACCTTGTGTTAAAGAATACTTCCCTTTTATAGTTCAGTTAATACGTATAATCTGTATTATATTATTTGGGATTATAACCTTTTACTGAGCGCAACGCCCCGCAGATTGAATAATCGCGAAGTAATCCCGACGTGGCCTGACTTTATAATCCTTGATAAGCGATAGCTAATCTCTGTCTCCTCAAACCTGATAAAATAGCGAGAACATTGCGACGTCCTCAAACTTGATACACCTGCATTTGATTTGATAATAAGGCTTTGGGGATAGGACTAGGGGTAGATCTAGGATACACGACGGAGACAGCCGGGTAGAAATCATGTATACTAACATAGACGCTCAAATGGGACGAATAACCCGAGCCTGTGCAATCCATTGACAGTCTGTTAAACATTTCCCGATACTTGGAAAGAGTACACCTCTGTCAAGGCAAAATTCTCCCTCATACCACACATCATGCTGTATGCCTGTTTTCTGTTGCAGAGAAGAACAACATGTTAAATTCATACATTGATCCTAACTAGCGGTTTGTGTTACCATGCTCTCGTCTACCGATTAGGATATTCCCTATTCTTACGTTAGCAGAAAGAGGTTGCGTAAAGTCAGTGGTCAATTGCCTCTAATTCAATGAATTTTTTTTTTGTATTTGAAAATGAAATTTATGTTAAATGAAGGAATTTCTTTAAATTACAAATAAAAAAACAAAACAAATGCGGATAAAAAATTCCTGGTAAATTTTTGTTTCCGGAACTTTCTACGTATTTCCCCTGATGTTTTGTTACAGTGTAGCCCCTTGTCTGACAGGAATGACACGGTGAAGCCAGTAAAACAGGAAGTATGGTATAACAACGAATATAGTAAGGCAAACAGCTGTCTCATTGACAACGCACTCGGTAAACAAATATTTACAGACATGACAATCTATGTTTTTATGTGCATATAAGGCCGATAAACTTCCTTGGGGTTTTCCGACGTGATTTCCCTTTGTCAAAGGTGGAGGACAGAGGAAGGACGGAGGACCTAAGCTCCCGTGTACACATTGGCAAGAAAATAAAACAACCACTGACAATTGAAATAATTAAGAGTTTCCCTCTTGCCAATGTACGGGGCGTGTATGTGTGTGTGTGTGTGTGCGCGAGGGGGGTCTAGTGGTTTAACGTGTGGGCGTGAAATCATAAGGTCTATCATTGAGTCAAGCGGCGTGGTTTCGAGTCCCCGCTTGTACGTGACAAGAAGTAGGATCGCGTGTCTAACCTCTTAGGTTTTCTCCGGGTCCTCCACCCCCCCCCACCACCACTGTTAAAGACGAATTATTAAAATAAAATTAAACCATATGTTAGTCCCAACATGACCTAGTGTTGTGTTTAGTGGACGTTAAACCCTATTTTAACAGGTTCTCGACGCCCTATTCTTATATCGAATTCCAACTGCCGAGGGTTCTTTTACGTGCATACCAATGTATACACTTGACCTCGTTCTTTCGTTCCATTCGAAAGACTATATGCCTGGCCTTCTATCCTGCATCACCGCCAGAAAAACCGATGAAATTTCGCCACCAACACCAGGATCGAACAGTTTAACGAGCTATTGTCTTACGTTCTGAATCACCGTGGCGCTTATCTCAAAAGAAAAAATCTCCATTACTAGATGAACTTTCTTGTCAACTGTGCCCAGGTAATAAAATATCAGAATAGTTAAAAGGTGACTTTCAACTCGAGGGGATTCCCCTATTTATTAAAACGTGTTTCTATAAATAATAATAAACACATAATCTTGTAATAAAGACACTCAACACGTCGACACAAAAAGGTTTAAAGTAGATGTATTATAGTTCACTCATCAAAAGAATATCTTAACACGTCTATTCTGCATGAACAATAGTAACGGTAAACCCATTCAGCTATTCAAGGGGATTCCCCTACTTATTCCCACGAGGCTTTTATAGTAATTCAACAAGAGCCATGACTTATTACATGCATGATAAAATACGACAGCAAAACAACATAAATTTATTCAGTCTTTGTCAACCGCGAAAGAGTTGGGAGGTGTGGTCCCCGAATGTTTTAACGTGTGCGCTTTAGATCACAAGGTCTGTCATTGAGTCAAGTTGGGTGGTTTCTGGCCGAGAAAGTTCATCAGGATTTCCCGACGTGGTTTCCCCCTTGTCAGTGGTGCAGAACGGAGGGCCTGAGAAGGCCAGCTGTCTAGTCCTTCGGATGACACGAAAAACCGAGGTCCCGAGAATATATTGGAATGCACGTAAAAGATCCCCTGGCAGTTGGAATTCGTTATGAGAATAGGCGATAGTGCCGCTGCCCGAGGAAAATTTCCCTCATAGCACACTGTATGGCGTATGCCCGTCTTCATTAGCCCAGTATAGGAGCAGAACAGTAGGACGTTAAACCCCATTTCATTTCATTTCATTTTGTGTGGTTTCTATTCCCCGCTTGTACGTGGTAAGGAGTAGGATCGCCTGTCCTACCTCGTGGGTTTTCTCCTGGTCCTATGCTTTCCTCCCATTGATAAAGACACCTACGTTCAAGCAAAATATTGAGATAAAATAGGATCATATGTTACTCCCGGTGACCTAGTTTGCATAGAGTATATGTTAAATCCTATTTTCAAGATAATTCATTATTATTTTAATTCATCCTCTTAAGAATGATAGCATTATATGAAGGGGCCGCTGTGTGATTTTCCCTTTTCAGTGCACGTGAAAGAACCCCTGACATAACTCTCGAAATAAGAGTAGGTCGTAACGCCGTTATCTGGGTAAAATTGCCAGTATAGCACACTGCATGACGTAAGTCCGTCTACATTAACCCGGGAGGGAGTAGAACATTAAATCCCATTCCTGAACTTCTTGGATAAATCCACAAAAAATCGGCGCGCGTTCCGCTACTGACACGTCATTATTTATATTGGCTAAGAGGGTAAAACGCTGGCTCGCTAACCTGGAGATCGCGTGTTCAATCCCTGCATTGGCCGAGAACGTTCATTGGAATTTTCCGACGTGGTTTTCCATTGTTAGTGGTGCAGGACGGAGGGCCTCACAAGGACAACAGTCTAGTTGTTTGGATGGGACCAAAAACGGAGGTCCCATGTATACATTAGTGTACACGTAAAAGATCCTTTGGCAGTTAGAATTCGATTTAAGAGAAGGCCATAGTGTCGCTGCCCGGGCACAATTACCCTCATAGCACACTGTATGACGTATGCCCGTCTTGATTAATCCAGTCGGAGTAGAAGAGTAGGACGATTAACTCCATTTCATTTCATTTCTTATAATGTATCATAATATGGTATCCGATCAATCTATGTATAAGGTCCCATTTGTAATGTCACTGCTATTGCTACTTTTAAAACTAAACTCAGGCCCGGATCCAGTATTTTGTCGAGGGTGGGGGGGGGCATACATTGGAGCAAAGGGTAATCATACCGACCCTAAACAGAAACTAAAATCTGGGAATCCCATTGCTGGCTGCAGGTGCTGGTCTGAACAGTGATGTCCAGTCTCACTGGGGCTGGGGGGGGGGGGGGTACGCCCCCCTGCCCCCACCCCTCTGGATCCGCGCCTGAAACTAAAGACATATTTATTTACAAAGGCTTTTACACATGAGTGATCCTTTTATATAGATTATTCTAAACTATTTTATTTACAAATTAGATGTAATTTTATCTAAATAACAATTTCATCATGTATGCTCTTTGTTATCTCGTTTTGAGAGATAGGCTTGCCGAATGGTTAATGCCTTGCATTATAAGGTCTGTAATTGGTTTTACTGCTTGTCGGTTTTGTTTGTGTTCTCCGGTTCTCTTCCACTGCTAAAGACTCTAGTCTTACACGCAGGCGAATTATTGAAACAAAATTTAACCACGTGTTAGTCCCGAAATGACCTAGTTTGTGTCAATTGGACGTTAAACCCCATTTTTCTCTCTTTCTCTGATATCTCTTTTTATCATGTAAATGTAATATTTAAAGCGCACGTGAACACAATAATAATAATAATAATAATAATAATAATAATTTCATTTTATTTCTTAAATATGAATAAACAAAAAAAATTCCTTTTGAAATATATTTTTGAATTTACAATGGCTTTACAATATATCTGTGAATATATATGCCTGTGTTGTTTGATAATAATATATTTAATGGGCATTTAGTGAAAGCGATATATATAATAACAGACAGCTTTATGGATAACATTCACCCGGTTTATTACCGACTTTTATTTGATAAAATTGTCGGCGCTATATAAATTAATTATGATTATTATTTATTACTGACTTTATTGTGATAAAGTGAAAACTGGCTGTTGAAAATAATTTTGTACTAAATATAATTGACCACTTTTCTAAGAATATCTGATAAATATATAAAAATATAACTTAATAATTTAGCAATGTGAAAGTTTAACTAAGACCAATTATTCATGTGAAGGTAGAGTTAAATATTTTAACTACATATCGTTATTACATAGTTAAATAATAATAATTAACCTATGTGTATATATATAATTCATTATTTTAGCTATGTATATATATTTATATCTGTATAACTCAATATTTTAGATATGTGTATATACATTATAACTCATAACTAAATATTTAACCTATGTGAAAATATAATTCATTATTTTAGCTATGTGTATATATAGCTGTATGTATATATAACTCAACATTTTAGATACATTTTAACTCATAACTAAATATTTAACCAATGTGAAATAAAACTAAATATTTAACCTATGTAAGAAATATAAATAGATAATAAAGATATGTTGAAATATAACTCAATATATTAGCTATGTGTATATATATAACACAATATTTAACATATGTGGAAATATAACACAATCTTTAACCAATGACCAATGTAAAAAATATAAGTAAATAATTAAGCTATGTGAAAATATAACCAAATATTTAAGCGATGTGAAATATAACATATAACTAAATATTTAACCTAATATAACTAAATAATGCAGATATGTGAAAATATAATTCAATATTTTAGTTATGTATATATTATATCTTATAACTAAATATATAACTAAATATTCAACATATGTAAAAATATAACTAAATAATTAAGCTATGTATAATATAACTAATTATTTAACATATGTAAAAATAAAACTAAATAATTAAGCTATGTTTAATATTACTCAATATTTAACATATGTAAAAATATAACTAAATAATTAAGCTATGTATAATATAACTCAATATTTAACCTATGCGAAGATATAACTCAATATTTAACATATGTGAAATAAAACTAAATATTTTACTTAAGTAAAAGTTTAACAAAATATTTTTCCAATGTGAACTTTTAACTACGTATGTTACTTATTTCAAAGCATAACGAAATATGGTATCTAAGTATCTAAGTACTTTTCTATTTGCAAATATAAAGAAATATTTGATCAATGCCAATATAACTAAATATATTCATTTCACATATCTGAAAGTATAACGAAATAAATGACTTAACTTAGAAGGTTTCTATTTATAATTAAGACATATTTCATCAGTGTGAAATAATAATGAAATTGTTAATGCTAGGTTCTCACTATGGTGCGGTGTGTTACGATAGCATTGTCTCTATTGAGACAAGATCGGCTACGTGCAGATGCATTCGGATACGTTTCGATACGATCAACACGATTGCTACGCCCTACCTCAATATATGATAAGACCTGATAGAATCACCACGATTACTCCACGATTAAAACCACGATTTCAATCGTAGCGTGAATCGTGAATCGTCATAGTTTAGCTCTATGACAACAATTCCAGGCCAAGTAAGATTCAATGCATATACATGTAGTTCAAAAAGGCATTTCCTGAACAATCTTAACTAGACCTGAGAATATAGGAATTTAGAATGGAAGACGAAACCAAGTGTCTGTACAGAAACACCAAACCCCACAACATCATTTGGCAGCCATTTTGAAAAGTTTATGTACAATATTCTATTTACTTTCCATGAACAACCATGGTTTATCCTATCATCCAACCAGATGTAATTCTTGGTATCTGGTACTTTCGACAAGAATTTAGTCTGTGGTGTCTATTTGATTGTGGGTATCTTTACTTATTGCAATCTGATTATGTATTTCGTTTCGTTTTTTTTATATTTTCCATTGCCTTCACTACATGAAGATCTGACCGGTTTTAGTGGTGAAAGTTCGCGTCAGGTGTCATACGAGCGGCGTTTTACCTTGTGACGTCAGACATTGATTAACCAATCAGTGGCTTTGTAGTGGGTTACCTACAGTTCCGTGCACTGCGGGTTATATAACAACCCATCCAGTTCCTAGTGTAGTAGAGACAAATAAAACGATATTTTGGACTATAAAAAACGAAACGGAATATGATCTGTGTTTTAATCAGATTGAGTGAAGACGTGGTTTTAGTCTATAACATCTTATTGACGTTCCTGATGTTTCTGAGATTCAGGGTTGTCGTCCCCAAGATGATTATAAGTAGGATCATCTGCCTGGCATTGACTGTCAAATGTTGAATTCGTCAAGACAGCGTTCTGATGGTGTGGTTTCGTGGTATGACCCTTTATACCGAGATGGTCATAGTTAGAATCGCAGTAGGGGTCATCCACGGTCTTCTTTGTCTGACTTTGACTGTTAGATGTGGAATTCGTAGCACCAATGTTCTCTTGAGGTTTTGGAGTATGACCCTTCTCACCAAGATGGTTATAAGTAGGGTCATTATTAGAATCATCGACATTCTTCGTGCTGTGGCTGTCTTGTTGTGCAGTATAACCCTTCCCACCAAGATGGTTATAAGTAGGGTCATTATTGGGATCATCGACATGCTTTGTGTTGTCGTCTTGTTTTGGGGTATGGCCCTTTTCACCAAGATGACTATAAGTAGGGTCATAATTGTGATCATCGACATTCATCGTGCTGTGGTTGCCTTCTTGTGATTTTGATGTATGACCAATTTTACCAAGATGATTATAGGTAGGCTCATTATGGAGATCAGCGATATTCTTCGTGCTGTGGTTGTCTTGTTGTGGAGTATGAACCTTCCCACCAAGATGGTTATAGGTAGGGTCATTATTAGAATCATCGACATTCTTCGTGCTGTGGTTGCCTTGTTGTGATTTTGATGTAGGACCAATTTTACCAAGATGATTATAGGTAGGGTCATTATTGAGATCATGGACATTTTCCGTGTGGTGGTTGCCTTCTTGTGATTTGGGAGTATCCTTTTTGTCACCATGGAATGGTGATTTCGAAAAGACAGTGTTGCCTGTTTGTGGTTTTGTGATAGAATGTTTGTCACCCAGATGATTATAGGTAGGGTCATCAATATTTGCCTTCGATTTTTGGGGTTGGTATTGACTGTTAGATGGTGGATTCAGATTTCTAGTATTGTCTTGTTGTGGTTTTGAGATTTGGCCCTTTTCACCCAGATGGTTATAGGTAGGATCGCTGTAGGGATCAGATAAAGCATGTTCGTCACCCTTTGGAATATGATCATAATACGTTTTATCTTTCACCATAGAGGTTGACGAGGTACGTTTAAATTGGTCGTAATTTGGATCCATAGGTTCCTCTTTTCCCAAATTATCTGCTGTTGTCTTCGCACTGATGTGATCATATTCCGATGGATTACCTGTACCCTGTCGTCTGGTATTCTTTGGTTTCACCACACTATATTGAAATTTCGAATCTAATGGTTGGGTTCTGGGGTCTAGCTTAATGCGGGGATCACAGTAGCCAGATGTCGGTTTCGATTTGATGTCAAAATCGTTGTCAATGACATGATAGTTTGACTCCTGTTTTGGCGATGTCTTGTTAGGTGGACTACCAACTGCTTTGATGGACTTGGTGCTAAAATCATGGTCTATGTATGTGTAGTTCGTCTCACCTTGAGACGATGCGGTGCTTGGTAGTTTAGCAGCTTTGGTGCCAAAATCACCGTCAATGTATGTGTAGCTCGTGTCCTCGTTTGGTGTTGTGGCGCCTGTGTAGTTTGTCTGATTTTTGGGCGATGCGGTTTGTGACTTAGCAGTATTCATGCCTAAATCATGATCTATGTCTTGGTAGTTCGTCTTCGCTTTGGTTGATTTAGCAGTAAAACCATGATCAATAACTTGGTAGTTTAACTCATCGTTTGGTGGAGTATTATTTGATGAACTACCCGCTGGGTTCTTGTTGTTGGTTGAGTTCTGTAAGAAACTATCGTCGATATAGTGGTAAGATGAGTCGTGTTTCTTTGTATCACCATCTTGTATTGTATTATATTCAGATTCAACCCTGTTGTTTTTATTGGTATATTCTAACTCCTGATGATTATCACCTGATTTACTTCTCCTTCTTCTGGAAAATAAAATCAACATCATGTCATAACCATATAAAATGTATGTGAAATGCCTAGGAGTGGGGTTCTGTAGTTGAAGGTTGGATTGGCAGGGTTCGGGTGTCTTCTAGGAGAGATTGGCGGGGTTCGGGTGTTGCGAACTCCCTGTAATCTCGGAGGTGAGCTGGTGGTAGCGGTAAGAGAGATTGTCGAGTTCGGGTTTTGATAACTACCTGGCCTCTAGAAGAGGAGCCGGTGGTGCAAGTTAGAGGTAGGCGGGATTGGCGAAGGGTTGGGTGTTGATCACGCCATGACCTCTAACGTAAGACATGTGGATTAAGATATTGTTTCTAATATGTGATGTCATCTTTAAACCATATCAAAGCAACATCACGTGACTCCTTTCCTGTCAATCTAATGATTGACTGACTAACGTTATATCATTAGTGCAAAGGGGGGCCATGGTTAGGGTGACCCACCATAAATAAATATCTCCATATATCTCGACAATTTCGCAACAATATTTATATATATGCCAAGCCTCAAATCAGTTTCACACAATTATAGTCACTAAATAAACGGTCATGTTGTACTTAATAAGCTATGACCATTAATCATCTATAAATAATAGACTGAAAACTGGTTCCATGTGTCGTCCATAACATCCAGACACTTTGGAGTAAAAGATAGGTTACGTGCCCTTGTTTTGAAATTAGTCTCGCTTAACCAGTCTATCGACCATTCTACGTCTGATTGACAGGTCGGGATAATACTTTTTTACGAAACATAACAGAAAGCTAGAACAAGAAATTGAATTTAGAAATGAGCACGTTAGCTAGCTCAACAATTGTTTTAAGAAGCTTGTAAAAGTAAAATGAAACTACTGCTAGTATCATGTTCCTGTCTAACCCGAGTGTTTCAGAGATATTATTTGTACTAAACCAAAAGATGCCGCTCTTAACGGTACAGTTAATGATAAAGCGATTTAAAAAATGAAACGAACGTAATTTCTAAATCTGCTGTAATAACCAAGAAGCTTAATTTTACTGCTATTCAAAATCGTCAACAATAAATTTTTTACGACTGTAATAGTTGATAGATTTGTAGAGAATTGCACGTGCCATGGCTATTTATAGTATCATACTGTCAGAAAGTTGGCCTCGACACGGCAAATGTACACGCCTCAGTGGTAGTCTCGAACTATCAGCGGTTGACTGTATTTCTGTAGGTGCATGGGTCACCCTACCAAGGTGACTCAGTCAGAAGGGCGTGAAACATTGTAGCACAATGTGTATATATTTATATGTTATATATTACCTGATTATACAGTAACCCTCTACAACTAACGACACGTTAACTTGAACCACGATGTATTATTATGTATGTAAATTCAACCATACCTTATTCTACAATAAACAACCACCATCACTACCAATATAACTACCACAATACCAACAACACAGCCAATTAATAAACCCAACTCATCTGAAGACCCTGGAACTGTTTCTGGAACTAACAAGTTGTTGAGATTAGATAATTACTGGTGGATCAATTATATCTTAAGAAGTTGACTAAAAGAATTGTAATCAGATTCTGGATTGAACGATTTCTACCTCTACCAAAATCTATCGTCTACCTTCTGTGCATGATGACAGTGTGTGGAAGACTTTGTCCTTTATAGATCTTAATTTGATCCAAACCATCAAATTGTAAAAACATCCATTAAGACCGGTCGTCCTTAGCAGTGATATAGGTCGTTAAACCCAGTTATGTCTATACAATACAACTGTTTCGCCTTATCAGCAGTAACAAATAACCTAATGATAGCCTGTTGTTATAAGCCGGAAGTTTTAATTAATAACCTACTTGAACTTGGTTGTAAATATCTGGTACAAGCAATGCTTGGTCCTGAAAATATAATTAATACTTGTTAAATAAATCATCAACTGATAGTGAATATACTATCTACATACGGTTAATGACAGTGAATATACTATCTACATACGGTTAATGACAGTGAATATACTATCTGTACACGGCCAATGGCAGTGAATATACTGTGTGTACACGGTCAACGGACAGTTAATGTACTGTGTATACGTTGTTCAATATAACGTCAACTGACAGTGAATAAACCATGGATACACGGTTAAGTATAACGTCAATTGGCAGTGAATATATTGCGTATACACGGTTGATTATAGACTCAACTGACAGTGAATATACTGTCTATACACGGTTAAGTATATATAACGTCAACTGAAAGTGAGTATTCTATATGTACACGGTTAATGACGGTGGATATAATGTGTATTCCCAATTAAGTTTTAAGCCATCTGACAACCAATATAATGTGTACATATGGTTAGTGTTAATACTTGGTAAACCAAGTCCTACGCCATTTTGTAATCGATCTATAGCGAAGTGGTTCCATATACAATTTTATTTTTTTATTGTTCGAATAAGATAGAAATTGTCCTACCTCCATATACTTTAATCCACAGGACACCCTCTTCTTCGTCTGTGATGTCATCAATTTTAACATTTATAGTTTTTCCAGATATTTTTAACTCTGAACCAAGACTAATTACATCTTTAGAGCAGTTTAATAAATCTTGGTTCCGGGAAAATACTTGAATTTTACTACATGATTTTACACTCAAGTTGATAAAAACACTTTCTATTTGAACTGTCTGTAAACTTGTAAGACTACAAGAAAGGTTACCACTGTAAGGTTGTTGATTAGAGATATAAAGATAGGCTTCATTCGGTAATGTTGTACTATCAATATTTACAAGATAATACATAAGATTATCTGAAACAGTAAAAGTTTGAAATAAAAATGTATGTTAATACTTAAACCCTGTAGACATATCAAAGCTCTGGAGTTTCGCTATAACAACTGTGATCAGTTTAAGTAAATCTTAATGAGTTAGCCTAAAATAATGTGATTTTTATATATTCTTTAAACATGGATTGCTTAACCCCTCCGATATGATCTGATCGGGAGTAGTGCCGATGCTTCCTTAAACGTTGTAATATATTCTAGTCTCTTTCTAAAATGAATAAAGTGAAAGTAATAATTTACCTGGTATACATATATAAGGATAGTAGATATAATTATAATCAACTCCAGGTGTGAAAGGAGAGGTGAGACTACAGGTACGTTTATTAGAACAGTTTTTATAAACTTGTAAACGATCGTCTCCATCAACAGGTAAGTGTAGATCTGCTATATTTCTTCTACAACATTTTCTGTCAACACATGAGGTGGTATTTAGACTCGGTTTACAGGACGAGTTGATCGTCTTATCATAACGTATTTTACGTATCTCGGTTCGTTCATCTATTACTATCACTTCACCTTCACCACAAGTCAACGTGTGTTTGGTACCAGATTCTGATCGACATTCATTCATTTGAGGAGCTGAAATATGATCATATCAAAGTGGTAGTCAAACGATCCTGCATTCTTATGCTGTCAAAAATCAATCGAAATTTGGGATTTGGAAATTTTATTATGTCACAGTGTTATTTATTGGAGATATATCATGTTTGGTTTAGACATTATTTATTTTGAGGGTATCGTAAAATTTAAAGGCATAAGTAAACAAAAACAAACCTAGGAGGCGTATATTAATTTGTGTCCATGTGGGTACGGTATATAAAATATGTACAATTTTTAGTAATATGGACTAATCATAATTACGGTATTCTAATTATGATACCAAGATTTTGTTTGACTGCTTTCTCTAGTTACCCATGTCCAACATTCATTCACTAAATATCAACCATTTTGAACAGATACAATAGCATCTACAAGAACATGTACAATTGAATAACTTAGTGTGTACTTACCCGAAGCAGTAGACACAGAACAACAATCATCACAGGTTATACTTATATTTGAATCTGTAATATGATATTGTTATACAATACACACTATATGGTATAAAAGATATGGAATGTTAATCATATACCGGTTGTTTAATGGGCGTTTTGTCTCCCCTCCCCGATGAACGTGTTTCCACAATTGCACTTCATTTAAAAAACACACTTCTTTGGTTGTAGGGTTGGATTTAGTTTATAATGAATGTATTAAACAATATTTCTGATAATGGTCTGGGGCATCGTAAAAACATAACTCAGTATGGAAGAGTTTCCAGAGGAGTTCTATTTAGTCCGGTCGCTAAAGCCAATATTTCGAGTCTCTTTTAAAGACTTGGACCAAAATTCCATAAATCATTAATCGGTTCTCGAGAGTATACTTATAACCGCCGAAGCCAACGCAAAATCAGAGCAGTTGATAAAAATCAATTCCGTTGGGCAATATTCATCTTTCAAGATGTTTTAGATTTATATGGAGGCAACCCACTTAGATATTGTTTCTTAGGAACTTATTTTGGATTGGGTATGCTTAACACGAGGAAACGTAATTGGCTTTCTTTTAAAAAAAAAAAAAAAAAAATTGGTATTTAAAGCAATATTAATAATACATAGTTGAGAAATTGACATCTGAAGACGATATAACACAGTCGTTCATAAAGACAAAAGCATTGACATTTCGTGTCATTAAACAGTCATTGACAATACCAAATCGAGACCCTTTTGTGACTTTAGATTTCGTATTTTATACCATCATCACCACACTGATCAGCAGTTAATAATCATCGAGGGGGTGACATAGGTACTGGATAATTAGCTAGCAAAAGTACCCTTGTCCTTTCTTAATTACAAGAAAAAAAGTTTTGAAGTATATTTAGGTACAAGATGTCTCCTATTTAGTCTAAATTAGTATTTAAAATGAGTATAAGGCACCATTCTGCCCGAATTACTTTATGTTAGTAAATAATGCACGCACCACCATCGAGCCATAAGTCAACGCCGTGTGATGTGACGTCACATGTAGAAGGCATTTGAACTTATAAAGATCACTCATCTTCTCCGTCACGCAATGCAGCGCAGGATTGATATATGCAGCCACTGGCTTGGCTCCATAACTGTACAGTGACATTCCAATTAGGAGTCCTAGTAATCAGGTCGTATAATCAAACTTTGAGAATAACCAGTCAAGTGGCGTAGTTTCGATTACTTGAGAAAACAGTACGGTCGCATGTCTAGCCTACGGGTTTTTCCACGAACCCCCCTTCAGCCAAAGAACCCCTACGCGCAAGGGAATTATTGAAACAAAATTGAACAATATGATCTCTCTCTCTCTCTCTCTCTCTTATATTCTCACTTGGTGTTGTTATTCGTAACCAAATATAATCATCATCTTCAACAGTTATGTTGTTAAGTACTACTTGGTAAATCTTGTCTCCAGAAATTGAAAGTTCTTCAAAATCATAGAATATACCACCTTCATCTATACATCTTAATAACGTCTGATTCCCGGAATAAATCTTCACGTTGTAACTTGATTCTTCTGTCAGATCAATGTAGACACTGTGGATGGTTATTATTTCAGGACTTGTTATATTACAACTTCTAGTAATTGTTGTACCTGTAGTTTGTGTTCTACCAGAATAATATAAATAACCTTTGTATTGAATACTGGCATCGGTGATGTCCATCATATTGTACATCAGACTAACTGTAAATACAACACATATATATATTGATGTAATATATTTGTTGGCAGAAAACAAAACAAACAAATAAAAAAAAGCGCTTAGCACATTGACTTTCACTGCTGGGTGCATAGTGTGTAGAACCTATCACTAAGTATTGACTAACAGGGTGGATTATATCGTTTTTTGTTTATCAGGAATCGGTTTGTAATATGCTGCAAATCTGAAGATACCAATAATAATGCTAATAGATATTCACACGATTGTTCAGTGATCAGAATTTCATCTTGTATGTGTGCATTGGTATGTGTATGAAATTCATTATTTCTGTTATTTACTATCAAATTATTTCTCAAATGTAAATAGATATTCACACGATTCTTCGGTGCTCAGAATTTTAGCTTGTATGTATGTATATGAAATTCATTATTTCTGTTATCTGCTATCATATTACCTGTTTCAATAAAATTAGTGAAAACAGATTTGTGTTGATGATCTTTTTTTAACCATTAGTTGTGATTCCAAATTTAATCCATACAGATATCAAAGTGCCGCACTTCCCAAAACATGTGCCAATCCGCATGTAACGAGAATAAATATGAATTGTAAATTAAATAACACTACATATTGCGCCGTATTCTGCAGACTACGGCGGTAATCGAAATCGCCGACAAATACTACTATTGTTCACTGCCATCCATTATTGTTTAAAAACATTCCCCGATTCGAGAATATTAATAAATAATTTAATAATTTATTTAGAATGTAGCGACAATTTAACCTATAGTAACAATGTGTGAGATAGCTTTATTTAACGTCCGCTTCCACCGACAATACTCACCAGAAATTTATATAGTTAACGATTTCACGCTCTACTGGCGTCGGTTCCACTTACTGACGCACATCAAAGATAACTGGCGGTTTCACTCAGATAGTGAACGGAAGCTCCAGTAGTGATGCGTTGCTAATTAGTCACGCTTTTGTCAATTTCTCCCGCACGCACCTGGCATGTGATATGGTCGGCTTAACTCACGTCTGTTTAATTACTCACGTTATTTTTACATACTGACACAAGTAAGGAATACTAACCAACTGACTTAAATAATCACCTTATGATTATTACTGACCATTTATAGGAATACTGAGTACGGTACAAATACTGACGGGTTTAAGCGATTACTGACAACACGTATATTTCTCACGAATTTCCATGAATAGTAACCACAATGAACATTTTCTACTTCATTTAAGGATATTCTAACACAGAGGCCGGTTAGTCAATACTTACAGATAGGTTCTACACACTATGCATGTTACCGTGTTTATTGCAGTAAAGCATGGTGCACTGAAAACATTGTTGCGATATGTTGTTAAATGTATGACAGTATTAGGAATACCATTATCATGACTTTGTAACATGCTTCAGATTATATTGTATATTGTGTACTATACAGTACAGAATAGTGAATTGAATATAATGCTTCAGTGTATATTTTTAATTACAATTATTGTTAAATATACGACAGTATTAACAGAGCAGTATCAGGACATTGTATGGTTGTATATAGAAGAATTACCTGGAACACATATATATGGATAACGTATATAATCATAGCCAGTATCACGCCTGTAAGGAGATGTGACGGTACAAGTTGGTTGATTTGAACAGTTTCTATAAACTGATAAACGATCTGATTGGTTAACTGGTGTAAAACCTTCATAATGTTTTTGCCGTTTACAGCATGTTGCGTTACATATTTCCATCTCATCTTGGCGGCATGCATATTCGGGCTCTTTGCTGGTATATGCAATTTTGTTGGCATCCTTGGATTCATCTACTGCTATAACTTCACCATCTTTACAAGTTAGAGTATGACGCGAACAGGGTGATTCTGGTTGTCTATAGCAACCATAAGTAACCTCACCATCAACTATAACAAACACTGCTAGAATACAAACAAATATGGTCATTTTATGGCTATAAATGAAATAGGGTTTAATGTTATACTGTTCTGTACTTATGTGACTAGCTAACAAACTAAGTCGCATTGAGGAAATTTTGAAAATTGAGTTGTTATGTTCACATTCTATATCTCAATACCTTCAAAATGATGCATGGTTGGTGTAAATCAGTCACAAATTGGCCGAGCTGTGTCTGTTTGAAGCCG